CGCAGCCGGCTTCGGATGGATCCTCCTCCTCCTCCTCCTCCTCCTCCTCCTCCTCCTCCTCCTCCTCCTCCCCCTCCTCCCCCTCCTCCTCCTCCTCCTCTCCTCGGGGAGGAGGAGGAGGCTTCGCGGAGCCTCCCATGCATGTCAGCATCTTGGCCCTCGGATCGGCGCGCGGAGGGCCTGCCAGGCTTTCCAGGGGCTCCCTCGAGGGCGCGAAGTCATTCGCGCTTCGCGCTTCGCGGTCCTCGGTCCTCCTCCCCCTCCTCCTCGTCCTCCTGTTCTCCCTTTGGGAGGGCGGCGCGAGAGCGCGAAGTTATTCGCACTTCGCGCTTCGCGCAGCGCGAAGCGCGAAGTTGGGAGCCCTTGAGGCAGCTGACGGAGCAGATGGCCAAGGGCACCGGCAGAGCGCTGACAGCACTTCGCCCGCACGCAGGTCACGGTGTTCTGGTTTGGGCGCCTAGGGAGAAGCAGCATCTCCAACGGATGACAAGGGCCCTCGAGCACATCTTCGTGAATTCGGATCTGGACGTCGAAGTCTTAATCGCATGTGAACGGGAGCCCACCGGTACTTACAACGATCCGGATCTTCTCCAGGATTTGTGGCCTAACGCTTTGAACACGGGGAGGTGGGACCATTTGCTGATGACCGAGGTGCACGTGGTCGAGCCGGGCATCATGGTCACGACTCAGAACGATGCTCCAGCGACGCTCGCACGGTCATTTTCGGTCTTCCACGCCTGCCGACGGGGTTGTGGAGCGGCAGCTACGAGCACGTCTTGGAAGCCAGCATGGGTGACAGACGACTCCTGCCACGCGATCGTGGTCGAGTGCTCGGTGAAGGACAATTTGGCGACGCAGCAGGCGTTGGCGCAACTGCCTGGCTCGACGGCGGCGCGCTGGGAGGGCCCGTTCCGCAGCCCCACGTCCACAATCAAGGACAAACGAAACCAGTTCAAAGCGTGCGTCCTTAAGGCCACGACTTCGGAGCTGGAGTTGCTCTGGCTCGTGAAGACCCTGTCGAGGTCGTCTCCGCTCCGTCGTGCCATCGTCGGGCGCCAAACCCTTCTTGGGGACCAGAGCGCTACGGTCATGGAGTTGGCATCCCCGCAGGCGCTGGAGGTGCTCTGGGAGCTTGTCGAAGAGGCCATCATGATCTCTCCTGCGACCGCCCTGGTCCACACCGCGGCTTCCAAGCAGGACTGGACCAGAGCGCGATCCAAACTCTTGCAAGACGATCCGCGGCGCGCCGTCTCCCAGATCCGCTGGAGACGCGGCCCGTCTGGGGGCCGGACTTGGGCCAAGCCGAGCGTCCTAGACAACGTCGCCAGAGTGGCAATCCGACGGTCGCAGCCAGGGGCGCAACTTTCAGATGATGGAGAAGCGCAACTGCAGCTCTGGGGGCCGCTGGGGGCGCAGCCGAGGATTCTCCTGCAGCAGCTGATGGGAGTGGTCTCGCAGAGGATCGGCACGGCGCTCACGACCAAGGCGGACGCCGAGCCACTGACGCAGAACTCATGGAAAGCTCGCGTCTCCCCCATGGGCGAGCTGGTGGGGGAGGTGGACATCCTGTTGGCTGGTCTGGACGCGGTGAAAAAAAAAATGCACGAGCAGGTCCACGGGGGAGTGATCGTCGTCAACGGCACGCATGTCCCCATCTTCATCCGCAGCGAGGCCCTCGACGCCGACGCTTTTCGGCGCCGCGGCAGGAGGCCGTAGACCCCCGGGCGGCAACGCCCGCCAGCGCCAGCGCGAGAACATCTTCCTCGTCTGGTTGGATCCCGCAGACGTCGGGACGTTTCATAATTCATCGAATACATTATAAGCGATTGTTTGCACTTCTACTTCGTGTTCGCCTACTCCTACTTCGACCCCGTCCCCGTATTGTCCAACGTCATTTCTTTCGACATATGCATCATGGGACTCATCTTCGCAATGCTTGTCTTTTGGATCTGCCGGCCTGCTGGCCGCGTCACCGGCGCGCTCGACTCTGGCGCATCTTTCAGCGCGGGGATCTAGCAGAGACATCGGCATCAACATCATGTCATTCAGCAGCAGCAGCTGCACAGTTCGCAGCACCCACGGATCCCGCATTCATTCAGGCAGCAGAGCCAGCGGCAGAGCCACAGGCAGCAGCAGCATTGGAGGCAGCGCCACTGGCAGCAGCCCTGGCAGCGATACCGCTGACAGCAGCGCCGGCGCAGCCAGCAGCATCATCGTTTCCATTGCGAAGAGAGTCGGCAGGCTTGGCGGTGGCAGCGACAACGCCGCATCCAACAGCAACACAGTTCCTAGCACGACGGGAGCATACAGTTCCATCGACAGCAGCACGAACGCAGCAAGCAGCACCGCAGTTTCTACCACAGGCGCCACTCGCAGCGACCATGCCAGCAGCGCGGGCGCAATCAACTGCTACACGCTTTCCGGCGCAATGGGAGCCAACAGTATTGTTCGGAGCACCGTCCGGACACATTGCCGCGCCCCAGCCGTGAGCGGTGGCAGTGCCAGCACAGACGACAGCACCACAGCTTCCAGTTGCAACTTAGCCTGCATCGGCCGCAATACCGCTGGAAGCAGCTTCGGAGTCCGAGCCAGTGACAGCAGTGCCTGCGCGACCAGTAGCATCACAGCATCCAGTACGAAGGGGGCTGGCGGGCTCGTCGCTGGCTGCAGCGCCAGCGCATCCAGCAGCGCCGCAGTTCTCAGCACGACGGGCATTTGCAATACCATCGGCATCACTACGGGCATTCCCAGCACCACGACGGCGTCCGCTACAGGCGGACTCTGCAGCGTCAATAGCGGCAGCGCCGGCGCGGCAAGAAAATCCACAGCTCCCAGCACAGTGGGAGTTGGCACCGCGGCTCGCAGCAGCGCCAGGGCACCCAGCATAACCGCAAGTGGCAACAATTTGGGACTTGGCCGTGCCACTGGCAGCAGCAGCGCCGAGGCATCCAGCAGCACTGCAGTTTCCAACGCGGCCTGAGCTTGCAGCAACACCGGCAGCAGCACGAGCTCATGCAGCAGTACCACAGCGTTTGTAGTCAACGGTCCCTACAACGTCACTCGCAGCAGCGCCGGCGGCGCATCCAGTTGCGCCGCGATTTCCAGCACAAAGGGAGTCGGCAGTATGGCACGCCGCAGTCCCAGGACATCTGGCAGCACCCCAGTTTTCGCATCGATGGGACTCGGCATCGCCACTGGCAGCAGCACCGACGCAGGCAGCCGCGCCGCAGATCCCAGCACCAATGCCCGCAGCGCCCCCAGCATCACCACCAGCATATCCAGCATTTCGGCGATTTCAAGCACCAGGGGACCTGACCATTCCACTGACAGCAGCACCAGCGCCCCCAACAGCGTCACAGTTTCCGGTGCGACGGAGTATGGCAGCGTCGCCTCTGGCAGCCGCACCAATGCGTCCAGCAGCAGCGCAGCCCCCTACACCAGAGCAGTCTGCAGCCCTACTGATAGCAGTAACGCGCTCACCAGCGCAGCATTTTCCAGCTCGACGGGAGCATGCAGTCCCACCGGCAGAAGTACCGCCGCATCCAGCAGCGCCGCATTTTACAGCACCACGGGTATCGGAGCCACTGGCAACGGCACCTGCGGCAGCATCATCGGAATTATACCGGGACTGGCAGCGCGGCAGGCGCCGGCAGCACCAGCAGCACGGCAGGCGCAGACAGTGCCACTACCAGCAGCATCAGCGCCTCCAGCAGCAACGCGGTTTTCGGCACAGCGGGCTCTTGCAGCGCTAGTGGCAAAGCCAGCGCAATCAGCGGCTCCACGGTCTCCAGCACCATTGGAACCGCCAGGTTTGCTCGCAGCAGCGCCAGTGCGCGCACCAGCGCCACAGACTGCAGCAAGTTGGGGCTGGACAGCCCCACTGGCAGCAGCACCAAGGAATCCAGCAGCATCAAAATTACCAACGCCGGGAGAGCTGGCTGCCCCAATGGCAGCAGCAGCGCACCCAGCAGCAACATAGTGCCCAGAGCCTGCGAGCGCTTCGGCGGGACCCCGCCCACGTGGGATGCCCCCTGCGGCGTCTCCACAAGGCGGGGGCGCATCGACCGCGCCATGCGCTGGGGTCTTCGTCGGGCGCAGCTGGAACTCTCAGGCGTTTTTCGCCCGGGACGCGATGCGCCATCGCCAGAAGAAGCGACGTTGTCTCCAGCTTCTGAAAAACAAAAGGCCGACTTCCTTTCAGTCCAGGAGACTCACGGCACGCATGGAGCGGCTCCCCCACTACCGCAGGGCGTTTCTGCGCGGTGGTCCCACGGCGCTACCTCGGTGTGGGGGGGTCGGCCTGCTGGTCAAAACCTCCTTCCTGAGCAAGTTTGATCGGGTAGATGGCGTGGACTGGGTGGGCGTTGAACCTGGGCGGATCGCTATCTTACGATTGGATGGGCCAAGGGGCTCGCTGGACATCGTGGCGGTTTTCCTGCCTACCGGCCAGGCCGAGCAGCAGCGTGCTGCGATCAAGGATCGGGCGTCCACATGCATCCGCCCAGCCGCCCGCGCGCTGACCGTGATGATCGGCGGCTGGAACTTCGCGCGGGAGGCCCGGGACAGAGTCCACTTCGATTCGGGTGGAACGGCGGCGTAGACGAGCAGGAGCACGACGACTTCGCAGAAGCGTTCTTCACACCGCACGCCATGTTCGAGGCGCAGCAGCCTGAACCCACGCACCGTACATCGCAAGGCGATTCAAGGTTGGACAGGGCATACGTGAACCCGGACGTTTCTGACCAGCTCTGCAGGGCGTGGTCGTGTGCAGCCTTCGGTTGGGTTGATAGCTTGTCGGCCCACCGCCCCATGGATGGCGCGCCGGTCGCCGGCGCGACGCGCGGGGGATGCGCGTCCGGTGCCGCTCGGGCCCTCCAGGCACCCAGCTTGGGCACGTAGCTCTGCGATGGGGGGACTGGCGACAGGGGGTTGACGTTGCCGACTCGCCCCGCCGGCGCTTACTTCTCCTTAAACGCGCCATCCGGAGCGTCTGCCTGGAGATGAGCAAGGGCGCAGAGATGGCCCTGGCAGAGACCGCCGCCGACCGACTGGGTTGCGCGATCCGGCGTTTGCGCGCCGTGGAGGAAGGACGATGGACAGCAGTGCAGCGCGCGGCGACGGAGTTCCCAGGCCTACCCGATCTCCACCTCCTGGAGGCGGCTCACGGTGGAAACGGGGGGGGGCGCAGAGAGCATTGCGAGACAGGGTGGTGAAGCTTGCCAGGGAGGACATCTGACAGGATCTTCGCGACTTGGAGGCTGACGCGCCGAGGCTCGCCACAGAGGTGGTCGCAGCCAGGCGGGAGTCTGTCGCGGACAAGATCAGACGGGTGAAACCTGGTTCAGGCACGAAATTGCGCGCTCTGCGAGAGGGCGACGGTGGAGTCGCCGCGGAGCCTGGCGAGATCGCAGAGGAGCTTGCGCGCCATTGGCGAGGGTTTTTCACGGCGAGGGAGGTGGGCCACGAGAGGTTGGCGGCGCGGCTGCAGGAGAGCGTGGTTCAAGGCGCCGCCGCGCTGCCGACGCGGCCCGCGAGCTGGCGAGTGCGGAGGCAGGACGTGGAAGCAGCGCTGGAGCAGGCCCGGCCCACGGCACCGGGCCAAGATTGTATCAGTGCCGTCTTTTGGAAGCGCTTGGGCAAGCTCGTTGTGGACGTGCTCCACGAGACCGCCAGCGCTCTGTCGCCCCCCGCGGCCCCATCTGGGAGAGGGCGCAGAGACCGCCGGGCACGCGTTCAACCTCGGGCTTCTGCGTTGCATTCCAAAGGAAGCTGCGGAAATCGACCCAGTGATTGGACAGGTGTTCACGGCAGACGGCATGCGCCCATTGTCTTTGGTCGACGTCGCCTACAGAATCATGGCGGGGGCGTGCAAAAGCAGGTGGGAGGATCCGCTTGGCCCATGGGTGTCCTCTAACCAGAGAGGCTTCTTCCCCGGCCGCTCCACGCCGGCAAACGCGGTGGAGCTGGAGCACCGCGCCATGCTCGCAGCACTGCAGAAGCCGCGCGGGATGCTGCTGCTGATAGACTTCAAGGTGGCCTTCCCAAGCGTGTCTCGCCGGTACCCCTGGCGATGCCTGGAAGATTGTGGAATGCCGACCGAGGCGCTCTGGGTCTTAGGCGCCTTGTGCGACAACGGGCGCTGCGCCATGTCCGTGGGCGGCCGCCGTTGCCCTGGGTCCAACATGAGCTCGGGCATCCGCCGAGGCTGCCCGCTGCCGCCGCTGGTTTTCGCGACTGCGATGGATTTTCTGCTGCGCGTTCTAGCCCCGCGTCTGGGCCCCGACGTGGCGATCCGCGCTTTTGCCGACGACGTGGGTATCGTTCTCACAGACGCGGAGAAGCAGCTTCCAGTACTTGAGCAATCTCTGCGCGAATTTGGAAATCTCTCCGGCATGTCGATAAACTTGCCAAAGACGGTGGGCATCCCGCTGTGGGGGGATTCGCTGGAGTCCGCAGCAGTAGCAGTGGCAGGCGCGTGCCCGGCTTGGGGGCGGCTTCCGCTGAAGCGGGCGGCGATTTACTTGGGCTGCGCGGTCGGGCCAGGCAAGGAGGACCTTTCTTTGGAGACTCTGGAACTCTGCGGCGCGGAAGTTCCGCGAAAGGGTGGGCGGGTGTCCGTGGGGCACTATGGGCCGCCACTTCGCTGCCGCCGCGTACAACGCGCACGCGCTGCCCGTGCCCTCATTCACTGCGCAGGTGGCAAACCCATCTGAAGAGGCACTTGACGCAGAGGCATGGGCCCTCAGGAGGGCAGCGCCAGGGCCCGGCAACTGGGCGACGCAGGATGATCTGTGGGGCCCAAGGGAGCATTACGGCATGCCGCGTTCCTTCGGTTCCGTGGCGGCGATGGCGCGCGCCTGCCAGATGAGGGCCCTTTGCTTGGAGAGCTCCACCCGCGGTGGATTGCAGATCGACGGCAAGGGTCTGCAGCTCCAGGACGCTCTTGGCCAGACAGACTTCCCTCAACGCCGTGGGCTATGGGGCACATGGTTCGTCGCAGCCACCCCTTCGGTTCTGATCCGGAATGAGCTCGCGCTCCGTCGACGTGATTACGAGGGACAGCATTGCCGCGGCGGCTTTCGGGGGCAGGAAGAGCTTCCAGGCGACCGCCAGAGAACTCATCGGGCGCAACTATAGGTCACCAGCTCATTTCCGGACCCGGCGCAAGCTGGACAGATGGCTGCTTCCAGGCACGCCCAGGAATGTCGCCACGCGTTTCGAACAGCGACTGGGGCTGCTGAGGGGCCTGGTCCCCCCACGCGTCGTCGCAGCGGTGTTCGACACTGCGTGGGACCGATGGTGCAGTGAACGGAGATTCCAACGTCGAGCGAATGCCGCAAATTTCGAGGCGGCGCAGCGGAGGACAGTATCGAACACTACGCCCGTTGTTGTACTGTCCGCCACTTTCATCGCACATCACTTCTGTTGGAGGCGGAGTGGTTGCTGTCACGCTGGCTGGGCGTGTACGATCTCCAGCTCCAGGAGAACACCTTGGTGCTCGGAGCGCTTGGCGCCTATGTTGTATACCGCGCCTCCAACGTGGCCCGGGCCCACAGCGGGATGCCAGCTGAAGTTGCTTCACGAGCTTTGCAGCAGGCGCTGAGGGAGGCCGCGGCCGGACACCGCGGCGCAGAACGGACGCTGGCGGAGCTGTGGGCATAAAGGCGCCGGTGCGCCGACGCGGAGCAGCGCGACGCGGAGCAACACCAGGACCACGGCATCTCAGTATGAGTGGCGCTTCTCTTCCGTTTCCTCCTTTCCCTCTTCTCCTCCCACTCCCCCTAGCGCCGCCTGCCGAGACGCCGGCCTGCCGATGACGCCGCTGCCGATTTGTTGAGGCACTTGTTTTTTTTGCGATCTCCAACGGTGGCTTCACGCGTTCTTCCTTCCCACGCGTCTTGGTCGGGACCGAGGCCGTCGCAGGTTGCGTCCAGACCGCGACTTTTCACGGGACTCGTTTGCCCGGCCTGGTCCCGCATAGGCTCCGTATCGGTGGCTGGCGGCCCTCTGGCTCCAGTCCCAAACCACCCCTTGGGGGCCGCACTCCTTGGGGGCTGGGGGCCGCTCCTTCCCTTCCCCTCTTCTCCTCCGCCCCCCTCCCCCTCTTTCCTCTTGCCCCTCTCCCCCTCTGCTTCCCTCCCCCTCTGCTCTCCTCCCCCTCCCCCTCCCCTTTTTCCCTCCTGCCCTGGCCTCCCCCTCTCCTCGTCGTCGTCATCGTCGTCGTCGTCGTCGTCGTCGTTGTCGGCCGTCGTCGTCGGGTGTCGTCGTCGTCGTCGTCGTCGTCGTCGTCGTCGTCGTCGCCGTCGTGGTCGTGGTCGTGGTCGTGGTCGTCTCGTCGCCGTCGTCGTCGTCGGGGTCCGGCCCGCGTCTTCCTCGGGATTGTGGCCCCCCGCGGGGGTGGCGCGCATGGCAGCGAGTTTTGATTTCAACCAGCGGCATTCTGCCAGAGGATTGTCCGCGCAGCTTTACGAGCACGTGTGGCGCCAGAGACGCTGCAGGAGGGCTGCCTCTCCTCCTTCCTCCCTTTCCCTCGCCTCCTCTTCGGCCGGCGCTGCCAGGTAGCCGGCCGGCGAGGCACCTATGTTGCTAGCCAGCGGCCTGCGGTACGTCTTCGACGAATTAGGGCCCTTGTGGTGCAAGCTATCGTGTCCCCTGTCCCGGCCGCGAGGCCGATGGACTGGGACACATTCTGCGCCGAGCAGATGATTGATGCTGCCTTCCTCCCTCGCCCCTTTCCTCCCGCGTTCCTCCCTTCCTCCCTCGCTCGCTGGCGCCCTCTTTCGGCGCACCGAGTCCGTGGCATGCCTTGGGTTCGGAGTGCCGAGCTCACGAGTGCCGAGCTCACGATTTTGTTGCGTAGCTGGCTGCAGCAACGCCCAGTGCCTGCCGAAGCTGTCAAGAACGATTCGCTCTCTTCCTCTCTCGTCTCTTTCCTCTGCCTGTTTCGTCCTCGCTCACCCCCCGAATTCTGTTTCGCGGAGCCCCAGATCTGGACCGCGGAGGGCTGGTAGTCGGCGAAGTGGGAAGTGCCTGTGATGCTGTTTCGCGTTATGTTCGAATCTCTGTCCAAGAGTGTGCACGCAGTAGCTGGTAAGCATGAGTTGTTTCGTGTCTCTAGAAGTGTTAATGCCCCACGCGCCGCCCTGCTGTCGGCTGACAGCGGCGCGGCCTGTGGCGCCAGTCTCCCGCCGGGCTCGCCTGCCGGGCACTCCGCCCCACGGGCCGCTGCTTCCCGTCGGCCTGTGGCCCCATTGTGGGTGACGATGGGCGTGTGCAGCTTATTCCACCACTCATTAGATATGACATCGCCTGTTGTATTGTATGCGGGTCTCACACGACCTTGCTTCCTCTGCTTCGTCATCGAGGCTGTCAGCAGGTTGTCTTTCTTCCCTTCCCCCCTCCCTCCTCTTCCTCTTCCTCCTCCTCCCTCCGCTTCACCAGTGCTGTTGTTTGTGCTATCTTATCAAACACATCATGTTCAGTCGGCGTAGAGGCCGCGGGTAATCCGCAGCATCCGCCGCTACATGTTTTGCCCGTCCTTCTCTCCTCCTCCTCTTCCTCCTCGTCGTCGTCCTCCTCCTCCTCCTCTTCCTCCCTGATTGTGGCGACGTCTACCCGACTGGCCTTTCAAAGTTCTGCGCCGCCGATTTCGAGCTTGAGGATTGTAGGTGCCCGCGGCTGTGTGCTTCGCGTGGTGTGCTGATAGCCCCCATGAGGGGAAGCGGATTTGAGCAGCGTGGTTGGCAACACCTGTCATTCGCATTGTCTGTTTAAGCCCGAGTCCGGGGCCACTGCACAGGTTTTTGCATTCGTCACCACATGGAGCATTGGCAAAGCGAGCGAACCTCCAGGCGATTTCTTCACGAACAACTTATCCTGGCGAAGGACCCAACCATATGCAGTTGTGGGTACCGCAATTGTGAAAATCTTCTTCGGTGAAACTCCCTATGGGGCCACGAAGCGCTGCACTGGGTGGGGGGGAGCGCTGTTCTGGGTGAGCGGTGTGTCAAATAAGGTTTCCGGGACGCATGCGGACGGTCCCACTGGGGGCTTCGGTGGCAAACCCTATGGGGCCACGAAGCGCTGTATTGGGTAAGTGAAAATGCCAAAGTGGGCTTCCGGGGCGCATGCGGACGGTCCCACTGGGGGCTTCGGTGGCAATCCCTATGGGGCCACGAAGCGCTGTACTGGGTGGGTGAAAATGACAAAGTGGGCTTCCGGGGCGCACGCGGATGGTCCCACTGGGGATTTCGGTGGAGCTCACTAAGTGGCCACGAAACGGTGTATTGGGTGGGTACAAATGCCACGTTGGGTTTTCGGAACGCATGCGAACGGTGGCACTGGGGCTTTCGGTGGAGTCCATTACGGGGCCACGAAATGTTGGACTGGGTGTGTGAAAATGCCACATTGGGTGTTTCGGGACACTTGCGGACAGTCCCACTGGGGCCTTCGGTGGAGCTCCTTGTGGGGCCACGAAGCGCTGCCCTGGGTGGGCGAAAATGCCACATTGGGTGTGCGGGGCGCATGCGGACGGTGGCACTGGGGCCTTCGGTGGAGCTCCCTGTGGGGCCACGAAACGCTGTATTGGGTTGGTGAAAATGCCGAAGTGGGTGTTTCAGGACGCATTCGGACGGTCCCACTGGGGTCTTCGGTGGAGCTCCCTATGTGGCCACGAAGCGCTGTACTGGGTGGGGGGGGCGCATGTGGACGGTAGCATTGGGGCCTTCTGTGGAGCTCACTATGGGGCCACGAAGCGTTGTATTGAGTGGGGGGGGCGCATGTGGACGGTGGCGCTGGGGCCTTCGGTGGAGCTCGCTATGGGGCCACGAAATGCTGTACTGAGTGGGGGGGGGCGCATGTGGACGGTGGCATTGGGGCCTTCGGTCGAGCTCACTATGGGGCCACGAAACGCTGTACGCATGTGGACGGTGGCCCCGGGGCCTTCGGTGGAGTTCCCTGTGGGGCTACGGAACGCTGTACTGAGTGGGGGTGTGGACGCATGAGGACGGTGGCACTGGGGCCTTCGGTGGAGCTCCCTATGGGGCCACGAAGCGCTGTACTGAGTGGGGGGGACGCATGTGGACGGTGGCACTGGGGCCTTCGGTGGAGCTCATTATGGGGCCACGAAGCGTTGTACTGAGTGGGGGGGGCCGCATGTGGACGGTGGCATTGGGGCCTTCTGTGGAGCTCACTATGGGGCCACGAAGCGTTGTATTGAGTGGGGGGGGCGCACGTTGACGGTGGCACTGGGGCCTTCGGTGGAGTTCGCTATGGGGCCACGAAGCGCTGTACTGAGTGGGGGGGGCGCATGTGGACGGTGGCATTGGGGCCTTCGGTCGAGCTCACTATGGGGCCACGAAACGCTGTACTGAGTGGGGGGGGCATGTGGGCGGTGGCACTGGGGCCTTCGGTGGAGCTCCCTATGGGGCCACGAAGCGCTGTACTGAGTGGGGGGGGCGCATGTGGACGGTGGCACTGGGGCCTTCGGTGGAGCTCCCTATGGGGCTACGAAACTTGCCCTCGGTGGGTGAAACGCAGGGAGGAGGGAGAAGAGGAGAAGAGGAGGAACGCGGGGACCGTCTCCTCAAAACGAGGACCCACCACCACAGGATGGTTGGGAACAAATAATCAGGCCCAGTCGGGCAGCGCCAGGGGCCACGCAGGCTCCCATGGAACGGACACCAAAGGATCGAGAGGGGCGGTAGAGTCACGAACCGTGCCAGCGCCATCTGGGAACGAGCTACCTCACGCAGTTCCCAGATTGCGCTGGCGCGAGTCACGCGGTCGTCATCGCCAATCTGAAAACAAACGCGCTCGTGGTGTAGGTGAAAGGTGCCCTCTGAGGAACGTTCTAGAGGCTTCGCGCGGCGCGCAATAGTTTTGTTTTCTAGCCCACGCCTCCGCCCCGTCAGACATGGGACGACGTTCGCGCGTCGATGTTCCGCACGGATGTCTGATAAAGATCCGACTTAAATATCACGTGAGTCCGACGTGGATCCGACGTACATTGGGCCTCCAGTTGCCGCGCGAGGCCTCCATGATTCTCTTCAGAACGTGCCGATGAGCACCGCCGCGGGTGGCAGGACGAGCACAAGAGCAATGGGTCGAGCCACGAGGCGGCAAGCCTGGCGCACGAGCACCTCCTGCTGCTGACCGACCGCGTGGCGGTGGAGGTCGAGGAGCAGAGGAAGATAACCAGCCAGATGATGGACGAGAAGCTCCGCGCCATTATGGAGGAGATGCAGGAGAGGCTCCGAAGGATGAAGGACGAGATGCAGGCTCAGATGGAGATGAGGCTGGAAAGCCATCGGGAGGCGACGCAGGCTCTGCTCAGCACGAGCGGCGAGAACACCCAGCTTCTCGTGAATAGCCACCGCAAGGGCATCGAGGAGAGGCTGATGGCACAGCAAAAGGGCTTCGATGAGCGACTCGCGTCGCTGACGCTGAGTTCGTCATCGCTGCCGGAGCAGGAGGGGGAGCTTCCACTGACCCCGAGGGATCAGCAGGAGCAGGAGGAGTCCATGAGCGAGGAAGCCGCGCAGTGCTTGGAGGCCTTCCGGTTGCTGGAGTGGCGCGTGGGCGAGCTGCTCAAGCGTGAGAGGACCTCCTTTCGGAACGCGACGTCCTCCCTGGTGATGGCGCTGCAGCAGGACCGCGTGGACAGAGAGGCCCGCCGGTGAAGGGGAGTGGGTCTGGCAGATCAAACGGGCCCTATCCCTGAGAACCAGGCCTTGCAGCTTTTTCACCCCAGGGCGCTTCCGCACGCGTCCGGGCACTGGGACCATCCCAGATCGATCCGGTTTGAAAGTGGCGCAGGAGGATGGGGTCTATGGCTCTAGTCGTGATTTTAGCCGATCTGTTTTTTGAGTTGCTGCGTCGGATCTCAGAATATGGGGAGGAGGAGGAGGAGGAGGAGGAGGAGGAGGAGGAGGAGGAGGAGGAGCAGGAGGAGCAGGAGGAGCAGGAGGAGCAGGAGGAGGAGAAGGAGGAGGAGGGGGAGGAGGAGGAAGAGGAGGAGGAGGAGGGGTAGGAGTAGGAGGAGGAGGAGGAGGAGGAGGAGGAGGAGGAGGAGGAGGAGGAGGAGGAGGAGGAGGAGGAGGAGGATTGGCCGCCCTGCGGGCTTGTCGGGGCCTTCCCGCGATGCCCTGGGGCCAGCAGGAGACAGCCGCGGGGCGAAGAGCTGGCCCTTGGCGGGGTGTCTGGTGCCCGCCTTCCCTCCCAGACGTCCGGCCCCAGAGGTCCCGACACTCGGGCCGGACTAAAAGGGGGGATACGAAATTTGCTGCATGCAGCTGGTTTTGGCCCCGCCGAGGGGTCCGTTCTTCGATACATGGCCGCCTCTCGCGCCAGGAGGCGCCGGGAAAATCAGCTACGTGAGCTGATTCTCAAACCGCCCTTTGCTACCCCCCCTTTCGCCCGGCCCGGCAGACGTCCGACGATGTGTGCTTTTCAATGCGCGGCCCCAGAGGTCCCGACACGTACCCTGGGGTAAGATCTTTGCCTTGTTTCTGATCGCCCCAGGGCACGAGGATCCGTAGTCATTTGGGCTCAAGTCCGTAGCGTGGCTCGGGCGTCAACAGCGGACGAGAGCATTGTGGCACTGGGGGCGCTTCTCTGGCGCACGCGGCCTTGTTTCTGATCGCCCCAGGGCACACGAACGGGCCTCCGGTGCCGAAATTGGGGAGAAGCGCCAGGATCGAGCAGAGTTGCGTGTCGTCGAAGGTCGGATGCGGACGCCTGGACCTCTCCAGGGGTGCGTTCTGGCCGTATTCTCGGAGCCCGAGGTGGATCCACCCGTGGCCACGGGAAGCCTGCGGGCGGCCCGAGGAGCTCGAGAGTTTCGAATTGCTGGTCGCCGGGCTCGGTGCTCGGAGCCCGCTCTCCCTCTTTGGAGATGGTTCCCAGAACCGTGACTGCACCAGTGTCAGGAGAGGAAAAAACACACAGACACAATTATTCTCGATTCCCCAGAAAATATGGGAAAATATGGGAAGTGGGGGGGAAGACAAAAGCCCAGAAAATATGGGAAAATATGGGGGATATTTGTATTTGTGTGTATTTATTTGTGTGTTCCAGTTCCCCTTCATAGTGGGGTGCTTGCTTCTTCTCAAGCGCACTGGGCCTGACGGTCGGTGTGGCGGCCAGGTCGCCGCCCCGTCGCCACCTCGTCGCCGAGCGTCGTCTGGGCCTGAAGGTCGGCCTGGCGGCTAGGTCGCCGCCGTCGCCGCCCCGTCGCCGCCCGTCATCTCGGGCCTGGCAGCTGGCCTGGCGGCTCCGTGCTCGCCGTGGCCTCTCCGTCGCCGCCTCGTCGCCGCTCATGGCTTGGCTCGCCGTCGCCGCCCCGTCGTCGCCCACTGATTCTCGCTTCTAAAAAGAAAACAGGATCTCCCCCCCCCCCCCCCCAGGCGTTATCGGTACCCCTCTCGGATATGTAAATCATGTATGATTCTGACCACATGTCCATCCTGAATATGAATTTACACCATCCCAGGGGGGCCGGTATCCCCCCCCCCCTGAGGTTCCTCTGTAAAAAAACACTATGCGGTGACATTTTTTGTTCGAGCATAACACTTTTTCACGAATCCCTTTCAAAACATGTGACGAAGTGCACACGCGCGCGTCGTCGCGCGCGCATGCCGAAACCCTTCAAAAACCGTCGGTGCCAGCTTCAGCGCGAGCTCCTGCGAAATCTTAAGAAAACCATAGGTTTTTTTTCAAGATTTTCACAAAGTGCTATTAAACGGGCTTCGCGAGCGCGCATGTCGAAATCTGTCGAACGCCCTTGCGCGTGTGTCGTCGCGAGAATCTCTGCAAACATTGAAACGAAGTGCAGACGCGCGCGTCGTCGCGCGCGTGTGCCGAAAACCTTCGAAACCCATTGGTTTCGGAAGGATTTCAAAATCGTATGCCCAAAAAACATACAAACACCCAAGGTTTCGCAACACGGATTTTCAACAAAAGCGTGCGCGCGCTCTTGCGTCGTCGTCGTCGCCGTCCTCCCTCCTCCCGCGTCGTCGTCATCGTCTACGTCGTCCTCTGTCTTTCCTCGTGTTCGTCGTCGTCGTCCTCTTTGGCGTCGTGGTCGTTTCCGTCGTCGTTGTCGCCGTGGTCGTCCTTCCTCCTCCCTCGTCGTCGTCGTCGTCCGTCGTCGCCGTCTCGTCGTCGTCCCTCCTATTTCGTCGCCGTCGTCGTCGTCGTCGTTGTCGTCGTCGTCTTCCCTCCTTCGTCGTTGTCGTCGTCGGCGTCGCCGTCCTTCCTCCTTTTTCGTCGTTCGCGTCGTCGCCGTCCTCCCTCCTCCCTCGTCGTTTTCGTCGGTGTCGTCGTTGTCGCCGTCGTCGCCCTTCCTCCCTCGTCGTCGTCTTCGTTGGCGTCGTCGTCGTCGTCTTCGTCGGCGTCGGCGTCGGCGTCGTTGTCGTCGTCGAAGTCGTCGGAGACGTCGTCGGTGTCGTCGTAGTCGTTGTTGTCGGTGTCGTCGTAGTCGGTCTCAAGAGGTTTTGCAAGCCAAGTTGCGGGTGGGTTGGTGGGATGTTTGCGCGAGCAGTGGAGATGACGACTTCAAGTTCAGCAAAGTGGATTGCACCACGTAGACTGCACCTCATCTCTTCTTCTCTTACCAAAATGAGCCATTTCCCGGGTTTTATCGGCACCCCTCGGAGCTTTGTGATTTGCATACGACTGTACCCCATCGATCACCACATGCAGCATTCATATTCATCTCATCGTAACCAGGCCGGGTTCGACACCCGCCCTCGTCGTCGTCAAGTGATGTTCTGCGCTGCGCGCGCGCTCGTTAAACAACAGTCATCAGTTTTCAAGAACCCCTTGCACCTAGCTAAGGGCTCCCCCGAGGGCGCGAAGTTATTCGCGCTTCGCGCTTCGCGGTCCTCGTTTCTCCTCCCCCTCCTCCTCGTCCTCCTTTTCTCCCTTTTGGGGGGGCGGCGCGAGAGCGCGAAGTTATTCGCGCTTCGCGCTTCGCGGAGCGCGAGAGCGCGAAGTTGGCAGCCCTGGCTAGCGGGGCACCGTCCAAACGCGCGCCACGTCGCGCGCCCATCCCGACACCGCTCAAACACTGCCTAGGCTTCGTGCGGGCAGCGAGGGCGTTGCCCGGAGGGGAAGAAGGGTATGAGCTAGAATCGGGGGCGGACAGAACCCCCAATAGTGACACGTCGATTAGTGAATTGTCCGTTTTCGGTTCTCGAGAGGGCGCCGCGGCCGTTATTTTCCAGGCTTGCGCCCGCCAGGTTTGGGTCTCAGGTCGTTTTCACTAAACCACGTTTTGCTAAAGGGGGTTCTGTCCATCCCCGATAGAAAATAAAAGAATAGCGATTTTTAACGCGTCCATCAAAAACTGGTATCGCCTCCGAGTGGGCACCATCATCGTCATCGGCGTGATCAGCATCGGCGCGGTCATTGGCACGGCCGGTGTCACTGTCATCTTCATCGCCATCATCGCTACTATCATCATCGTGTCTGCTGTTGTCGACGCCGCCATAATACCGCGCTCGCCCGAGTCATCGACTCGCACTTAAGTGCCCGCGCGTCAGCGCGGCACGAGAATCGCGTTGGGGAATTCCCAGCGGTCAGCGTCCCCGCGACCGCGTCGGTCGCGTCCGACTAGCTGGCCGCTTTGCGTGCGAGCCCGCGCTCTAGCGCGGCCTTGGCGATGTGCCAGCCAGCGCCAAGCAGTCATCAAAATTCTCGCCGCATGGACTTTGCAAACTAAGGTGCGGGTGGGTTGGTGAGATGGTTGCGCGAGCAGTGGGGTGACATTTCCTTCCGAGCAAATCTATTTGATTACACTACGTGGGTTCTCCGTGTGCAAAAAGATGTGGTGCGGATCTACCCCCCCACTGGAGTTAGCCGTCCACCTTGAGGATGTGCAAGATACCGACGTCTCTGCCCAGCCGCTCATTCTAAGTATGAGTACCTGCAATCTCAGCCAAACCACGACCGCCCCTTCATGTCCGTCAAAGGTTATTGCGCGCGCGCTCGTTTGTCAAAGTCCAAAGTTTTTGAACAATCCATTGCAAGCCATCAGGCAACGTGCGCACGCTCGGGCCGTCGTGCGCATACCGAAATTCGTCAAACGCCATACGTTAGAACAAGGATGTCAAAAACGAGTGCCCCGAACAGAAATTATTGACGCTTCGCGTATCCCTACCAGTTCCTCGGCCGGCGCGTGGCTGTTGCCTCGCGCGTCGCCTCTGCTTTAATTTTCTCGCGTTTCCTCTGCCTAACTAGTCTCTGCGGAGCCCGCTTTGACCTGACTCGCCGCCGGCGCGCTCGCCCGCGGCCGCTGACTGAAAATCCCTACCAGTTACTCGCCGTTGGCGCGCTCGCCTGCGGTCGCGACAAAAAGTGTCCTTACCAGTTTGTAGATTTGCTCGTAGCCCGTGCCGATATGTGACGCCGCCGGCGCCTTCGTCAGCCCCAAAAAATCCTTGCCAGCCCATCCAGAAACGATGCCCATGAGAGCTGCCGTGGGGAGAGAGGACGAGACACGCATAGTCCACGGATTTTGGCTTCTTGGCGGCCTCCAGGGGAGGCTTCGTGGCCATATCGAGCCGTCGTGGAGCGGTCTTGGGACCTCTTGGAGCATCCTGGGAGCCATCTTGAGCCAGCTTGGGCTATCTTGAGCCATCTTGGAGGTCATCCTAGGCTCTCTGAGGCCGCTCGGGGGCCTCCTGGGTGCCTCTCGGGTGCCTCTTGGAGGCCTCTTGGGGCTCTCTTGGGCGTCTCTTGGGAGCCTTGCAGGGCCTCTGGGGGCCATCTTGAAGGCGGTCGGTCAAAAGAGGGGGGTCCTCGATGTAGCTCCCCCCTCCCGGCGGCCACGATCCTCGTGAGGGGTGTCGAGAAGTGACCCTCCCAGGGGCCAAAAATATGACCCTCGGACACATCGGGCCCCCTTCCCAAACAACCCAGGGAGGGGAGGGGGGGGTCCCCTCCCCGAAGGGAGGAGGGGTCGTGGATGAGGAAAGAGGCCCTCGTGAGGCCACCCGTCGCCCAGAGGGCTGGTGGAATTCGCGTCGCCCCTCGAGGGCCCCCTAACATTGCCTCTTGGGCCCCTCTTGGAGCGCCTTTGGGGCGCTCCAAGAGGGGCCCAAGAGGGCCCCCTCCTCCTCCTCCGCCTCCGCCTCTTTCTCCTCCTCCTCCTCCTCCTCCTCCCCCTCTGCCTCCTCCTCCACCTCTGCCTCCTCCTCCTCCTCCTCCTGCTCCTCCTCCTCCTCCTCCTCCCCCATCCTCCTCCTCCTCCTCCTCCTCCTCCCCATCCTCCTCCTCCTCTTGGGCGCCTTTGGGGCGTCTTGGGAGCTCTCGGAGCCGTCCTGCCGCTCTCTTGGGCCCCTCGTGGGGCCCTCTTCGTGCCATCTTGGAGCCATCTTGAAGCCTCGGTAAGGCCATCGGAAACAAAAAGGCGAGAAGGCCAAAGTCATTCTGTTCTTCATGTGTGTTGAAGGATGTTGGCCTCGCAGCGGCCTCCTGGAGGGTTCCGTGGCCATATCGAGCCGTCTTGGAACGGTCTTGGAGCCTCTTTGAGCATTTTGGGAGCCATCTTGGGCCAGCATGGGCTGTATTGAGCCATCTTGGAGGTCATCTTAGGCTCTCTGAAGCCGTCCGGGGGCCTCCTGGGTGCTTTTCGGGTGCCTCTTGCAGGCCTCTTGGGGCCCTTTCGGGCCTCTTAGGGCGCTCTTGGAGCCCTCTTGGGGGCCTCTTGGGAGCCCTTGGGGGGCCTCTGGGGGCCATCTTGGAGGCGGTCGGTCAAAAGAGGGGGGTCATCGATGTAACTCTTCCCCTCGGCGGCCACGATCCTCGTGAGGGATGTCGAGAAGTGACCCTCCCAGTGGCCGACAAAGTGACCCTCTGCTCGATGTAACTCTCCCCCTCGGCGGCCACGATCCTCGTGAGGGGTGTCGAGAAGTGACCCTCCCAGTGGCCGACAAAGTGACCCTCTGAGTCGTCGGGCCCCCTCACAACAAGAAACAGGGAGGGGCGGGTTCCCTTGCCCGAGGCGAAGAGGGGTCGTGGAAGAGGAAAGAGATCCTCGTTCGACCACCTGTCGCCCAGAGGGCTGGTGGGATTACAACATGTTCTGCGCACGGCTTTGTTTTCTAAAGGTCTGCGCGCTGGCACTTGCTTCCCAAATACCACCGACGTGTGTACACCATCATCGACATCGGCGTTATCAGCATGTGCGCCGTCATTCATTAGCCATGCCGTCGTCATCGTCATCCTCGTCCCCAGCATCGCTGTTATGATCATCGGGCCTGCCAACGTCGACGTCGCCATGATACCACGCCCAGCCGAATCCCGACTCGCGCTGAAGTGCCCGCGCGTCAGCGGGGGGAGGGGAGTCCCCAGCGGTCGGCGCCACCGCGGCCGTGCCAGACGCGCCAGACTAGCTGGCCGTTATGCGCGCTAGCTTACGCGCGCTAGAGTGGCCACAGCGATGCGCCAGCCAACGCCAAGCAATCGTCGCAATCGCCGCCGAATGCGTTTTGCAAATTTAATTGCGGGTGGGTGGGTGGGACGTTTGCGCGACTATTGCAAGTTCTGTACGGCGAATTTCACCACATAGAGTGCACCACATAGATGGCACAACGCAGACTGCACCACCGATCTGGCACTACATAGTTTCCTCTACGGAAATTGCACACCACATAGTTGCTAGGAGCACACTGTTTGGGGTCCACGCTGGGTAGCATGTTGTTGCCATTCTTATCCGACGCGTCACGGTCTTTGCCAGACTCCCCGCCCCCACGGGTAACGGCAAGCGTGTGAAAGGGGGGCTTGGATCACCCCCTCACATGCTAGTGCCCGCGCGCATACCCTGAGTACTGCGGCGCCCCTCCGCCACGACGTGCCCCGCCCCGCGCAAACGCTACCCGTACCCGGGCCCCTCCGCCGTGTAGCGGCCGTTACCAGACCTCATGGAAAACACATCGCTCGTGCCAGAAAGCCGGCTCCGCGCAAGAGTGGCTCTTCGCTGGAACGTCCTTTGGTGCGGGTCCATTTGGGTGTTCCACGCTGTGCCCTGAAGCGGCTTGCCCGCTGGAATTTGGACCCTCTGCGCCCCCCCAAGCCGCGGACCAACGGTCACCCTTGCACATTGGTCGCCCTTTCGTGCAGCCGAGAGAGGCTCTGGAGAGCCGGCTGGAGCAGACGGTGGAGGCCTGCCGGAAGGCGGCCCACGACACACGCTCCGCCCTGGACCTCGGCCTCGCGGACCACGCCTCGATGGTGCGGGCGTTGCGCGAGGAGCTCAACCAGCGGGGCTTCACTGGGCTGCCGCAGGAGCGCGCGTGGCTGCCTGCCAGTGGCGGTCGCGACGGCAGGTCGGCGCGACAGATCTCAAGCAATATGTTTTTGTTCAATCCTGGCGTGTCTCATTTGGGGGGAGGCTCGACCCCCCCTACATGCTGGTGCTCGCGCGCACTCTGGCGATCGCGAGACCCATCCTGCCCAAGCGGTATCGTTATCCGGGGCCCCTTGCCCTCCCCCGGTGACGACCGATACTGGAAATCGTAAAACCATTATCTTGTCGAAATTGCAGATTTGCGTCAATCGGTTGTCGGTCAAGTCTTGAATTGTTCATGGATTTCGGCCTCGGGGTCGCGTTGTGGGCCCATGGCAATGGAAATTGGCCCGTGGCGAAGAACCACACCCAGATACTAATTAACAACTTTCATCGTCGGATACCTGGGATTGGGCGCGGAAAGAGGTCTAAGACAGACAGCGGTTCATGCCCATTTTCAGCAGGACTCGTTGTCGTCGTCGCCGCGGGCGTTGTCCGTTTGACCCGAGTCGTTGGCCCAGCAGCGACCGCCGCCGGTCTTGGACAACGTTCGATGATGGGCATCGTGCTCAATTTTGTCCTACTCGTTTTTTCACAGGAGACTGCTCGCTCCCAATGCCCGAGTTCTCCCCGAAGCATCAGGCCGCTCAGAAAACAGAGGGGACCTCGGGGATACACCTTCAGTGGGCTATTCGTACGCACCCCTATCGAGGATGGATCGCTTCCATCGTATATCCGAGAGTCTGGTCCCCCTCTCCTCTTCCTCTTCGTCCTCCCTCTCCACTTCCTTCGTCATCCTCCCTCCTGTCGCAACTGCATTGTCGATTTGTTGTTCAGGCCACGGTCCATAGTATGAGTTTGAATATTGCGGGTCGGTTTGTGCGGTGTTCCAGGCTTGCCTAGCGACCTTCAGATTCGCGGTGCAGCTGTGCTGTATCACCCGTGGTGATTTGCGTGGGTAGAAACATAATCTCCTAGACTTTGGCTTCAGAAGCTGGGGTGATAGGTGTCGACACACCCCCTGTCACTCTCGGGCGTGCCAATCAGGGGCGCGGGCGACCAGGACGGGCGCGCGCGGTCCTACGCCGACGGGCTCGACGTCAGCGCCAGGACCTCTCCGATATCGTCGCGACTGGCGGGCCAGGAGGAGCTCGGAGGACAAAAGACGGCATACACTTAAGAGAGCTATTGGGGGGACCCAGACAGGCTCGCTTTCTGGAGAAAACAGTGGCCCGTGGGAAAAAATCGGGACCGGGACTTCGGGCACCGCGTATTGAAACATCAGAATATCGCATGGCTGGGGACGGGGGGAGGGGACCGATCATCTTACGATTCGCGCCAGCTCCATCTTGGAATGTTGAAGAATGGCTCATTCCCAGATGTTCTCAGCCCGAATCATGGCGTGACCAGAAGGGGGCGGGGAAGGGGGGCAGGGGGGCGGAGCAGGTCACGGTCAGCATCGGGACTTATGATAATTGCGTCAGATTTCTCGGAGATCCGCGCGGAGTTCTCGGATCGGCGCTTGACCCTCCTTCCTAGCGTGCGGAGCGCGCAAGAGGCGGCGCCCGAGGCGCCGCCAGGGGGTCCCAGCGCCGATCCAAGAAATCAGTGTGGACCTCAGAGAAATTATGTTGAATGTGAAGTTCCCGACTGCTGCAAACTAATATTTGGCGGCGGTGCCGTTGGAAAGCCCTGCATGTAACATATTGAAGCTTGTGAACTCCAGAACTTCTGAGTGTCTTCCGTGCGCTATCGAAACTGGGCAGCGGGCTGCGATGATAATCGCTCTCCAGCGGAAACCAGCTTTTTGTATTGCTTAATTTGACAGTGGCGTCGTAGACAACATCCCCACGGAGCAAACTATGCGAATGCCGTTTTTGTTCCACTTCCAGGACCGCGTGATCACGGTCTGAGGGCTCGGGCGGGGGGGGGGCGAGCGGGGATGCCTCAGCCCCGGCCATGGGTGTCCCGCCGTGGCCGTGAGGGTCGCGCGCTTTCCAGGACCGTGTGCGTCCTGACGTCACCGTTTCACTCTGCCGCGCCGAAGGTCGGCGGCGAGCGAGGGGGGAAGTGAGAAGGAGACGGCCTTCTCAGAAGGCGGCGGGGCTTCTCAGAAGGCTTCTGGCCTTCTGGGAAGTTTTTCGTGCCTTCGGGGGAAGCTTATACTTCTTTTCAGAAGGCAAGGGGGCCCGCCCCTTCTCACCTCCCCACCGTGCTCGCCGCCGACAAGCAGGGCCGTGCATCTGTGGCGACTCATGACGAGGAGCCTTCTTGGCAGTTCAGCAGACGCATTGGCTCCTGAACCTCTGGAGCGCCTGTGCGTTTCCTATGGAAGAGTTCAGGTTTAGATCTCGCTCTTCAGAGTGTCCACCCTGCTACAGGGATGCCAACGGTTGACTTTAGCACGCTGGAAAAGACACGTTACTATCCTGTTAGTCTCGGACAAAAGGGGATCACCTACGCAATCGCAGGCTTCAGGTGGTGGTGTCCGCAAGCTGCATCTCGACTAAGAGATGCTGTGCCGCCAATGAGTCGTCACTCTAGCCGGCCGCAGCAGAGAGGAGTCCCGTTCCCATTTGTTGAGGAGCAGGTGATCTTCACGCACAGACATCAGCGAAGCTTGCCGGTGGGTCGAGGCTCAGTCATGCGAGTTGCACGAACTATTGCCAGCTTCGCGCTTGACAGATGCAACAGATTACGCCTGCCCCTCAAGGCCCCTGCAGGGAGTCTACAGCACGAGTTGCAAACTGGGAGACACGGATGGGCTGGACTAGAGTCATAAGGCGCCAGCTTGGTAAATTTGTAGGCTTTACAATCATCATTCAACTCAAAGCCGAGTTCAGGATATGCCGGCTTACCGGGGGCCCGGGCCTGGGCCAGAACACCCTCCCGGATTTTTGTGTGACCATCTCCAGGGCTTCTGATCTCCCCACAGCCGCTCAGAGCAGCTCCATAGAGCACAAATAACGCACCAGAGCGGCCCAATAGGGCCGACCGCGCCCCAAGTTTGTCTCAAGATGGCCCAAGAGGCCCCGAAGACGCTCCAAGAAGGCTCAAGATAACCCTAAGAGGGCCCCAGGAGGCCAACAATGCGATATCTCTTGTGGTATAGCGTGCATGTCCAGCATCTTCGCTCTTGTCGCAGCGTCCAAGATTGCCGAAGAGGCCACCACAACCGCCCCAAGACGGCCCAAGGGGGCCCGACGAGGGGTCCAGCAGTGGGAACTCCAGCTGACGTTTCGGGCCCTCCGCCACAAGTGGGCCCCCGAGGCCCCCAACAGGCCCCCAGGAGGGCCACCAAAGAGGTCCCAAGAGGCACCCAAACCGCTTCAAAGAGGTCCCGAGGCGCTTCAAAACTTGCTCCGTGAGGCGCCCTGGGAGGATTCTATGAGACCCCGAAATACAAATATCCAAACAGCCTCTGGCGTAAAACTCAGGCACGGTGGCGGTATGTGCCGAAGGCCATGCCCTGGCGATGGGCCCATCCCTGCGCAGACACGTGTAGCGCAGGGTGCGGCCCTCTCTTGATATGATTACTGCGCGCCGCGGGACTGAGCTGATAGCGGGCGGATGCAGAGCAAACGTGCACAGGCGCGCTGAATGTGTGTGTGTGTGTGTATGTGTGTGTGTGTGTGCGGGGGGGCACGATCCGAGGGAAGGGGGTGCCGAATAATCCGGGTGCCCTTGCGCGAGTCCGCGTCATTGTTCGGTTGGACTTCCATGCGCCAACACGGGCGGGATGACGACATGCGATGTTGGCCATTGGTGGAGCTCGTTTCATGGAATGGTTCGCGCGAACGGTGTACCGACATGGGCGGCGGGACGATTGATTAATCTTGTCTCTGCGGATATGAATGGCGCCCCCCGTGGGAAACGTTCCGCGTAAGGGGTGTGCCGCAATGGGCGGGGGCGGGCCCTGTGCGAACCTTGTCTCTGGGGCCGTCCGTGGAGCTCCCTGTGAGGCACGATCGGTGTGAGAGGTGTACCGAAGTAGGGGGGGCCACCTTGTAAGCTATACTCGTTGTACTGTAGACGGTGAAGTGGTTGGGGACGGAGGTGGCTTGCTGTTTCTGCTCTTTTACAGCAGCACCCTCCGTAGACTTTTGTCTCAAGGATTCTGTTGTTCTGTAATGTGCACGGGGCGCGGGCAAGCGCGCAGCAGGGGACGCTCACCAGATGTCCCGATGCCCCGCCACGGATGTGATACCGTGGCGGCGCCGCCATGCACAACATGGTCCTAAGCATGAGCTTACATTCGCGTTGATCCCCTCTCGCTCCATATTCGAGGATGTGAACTTTGTCTGTGAGGACGTAGTCGTACCTCCCTACAGGCACGACCCGTGTGAGAGGTGTTCCAACGTGAGAGAGGCGACGTTATACACAACTCCTTGAGAATTGAAGCTGCTTGCGGGGCAACACGATCTGCGTGAGGGGTGTGCCGCTATGCAATGGGGCCGTAGGTGGAGCTCCTTGTGGGGGCACGATCCTTGTGAGGGGTGTGCCGAGATGGGTTGGGTGCCGTAGGTGGAGCTCCTAGACGGCAAGATCCGTGTGAATTGTTCGTGGAACGTAGGCGGGTGCGCAGGCGGTTCAGATACGTATGGCTGCGATCGCGCAGGTGGTTCCACGCAGTGATCGTGGTGTGCGCACTTATCCGCTGATTGATATGACGCTGGCTTTGCCTTGGCTGGAACATTAGCGCGCGACGCTCGCGCTGTAAGTGTAGGAACATGCAGTGTAACACACATGTGGCAACCGTCAGTGTCCGACGGAGGAGGCGTAATAATCATGATGCTGTAGCGGAGCAGGAGGATTCGTGGGTGTTCCGGGCACGAAGTGACAATACGTTTTTCACGACAGCGTCTGGCCAGTTCCAGGGGCCCCAAGACTCTGCACGACCGCCCCCAGAGCGCTCCAAGGCTTTCCAGAAAACCGTCAGAAGCCCACACCCTAAGTTTCCTTGGTTGTTTGTATTTAGTATCCGATTCTAGATGGTTCGGGCCCCGACTGTTCAGGACTGCCCTTGAATCGCCAAGAGGGTGTCACGAGGGCCCAACGACAGCCCAAGAGGGCCAGGGACGGCCCAGGTACCGCCCAAACGGCCAAAGAGAGACCCAACAAGGCCCCAAAGGGGCTGCAGCAGAGGCCACCGAGGAGGAGCGCGAGCTGACATTTCGAGCCTGCCGACGTTAAATGGCCCCAACGGCCGCCGGCCCCAACGACCCACAACATACCCCAGGAGGCACAAGAAGGTGCCCAAGATGACCCCCACAGGGTCACCAAGAGGCCAACCCTACGGAGTTGATCTTCGGTTTGTGATGCAATTTAATTATTGTCATTTCGCGCGTTTCACGCTCCAATATCTTCCCAAGACAGCCGAAGAGGCCCCATTGGGCGGGGAGCCGCAGCTTCCATATTGGCTTTTTGGGGGGCGGGAGGCGGTCGTCGCGCCGCCCCCCACACGAATGCGATGACGTGCGACGACACGACGACCTGCGACGACGTTTGGCAACGAGTGCGGCGGCGTTTGGAGCCCCAAGCGTATAGGAAGGCCCTGGAGGGCCCCAAGACGACTACAAGGGGGCTCAAGAGGGGGCGCACGATCTGACAGATATAGTATTCGGCCCCAAGAGGCTCCCGAGAAGCCACAGAGGCCACCTACAAGCCCAAACAGGTCTCCAAAGGCCCTCTAGAGATTCCACACGAAGCCCACCCCCTCCAAAAGCCAAGAACCTCGCCAAGGTCGGGCAGATCGCCGAAGCGGTCCTGAGATGGTCCCGGAAGTGTGTAAGACGTCCTCATGTCAGCCCAAAACAAGCTCAAGAGTACTTCAACGAGACCCCCGGGAGTCCCCCAAGAGGCGGCACAATATCCGTGTTCTGTTGTTCTCGCCTTTTCTCGTTCCTGAGTTCCCCAGGCGGCCGAAGAAGCCTCCAATACAACCCCAAGACGACCCAAGAGGCCCCCAACAGGGCCCTAAGACATCCGAAGAAGCCCCAAGATCGGCCCTGACGCCTCCACGACGGCCTCAAAAGAATCCCAACGCTGCCCAAGAGACCTCCAAGATGGCCGTGCCGCGTCCCAAAGAGGGCCCCAAGACGGCCCAAGAGGCCCCTGACGGCCTCCACGACGGCCCCACAAGAGCCCCATGTCTGCCCAAGAGATCTCACGATGGCCATGCAGCGTCCCAAAGAGGACCAAGCGATGGCCCCGAGAAGTTTCCGATACCGCCCCAGGAGCTTTGATTATGCCCCAAAGGAGATCCTCAGAGGCTTCTAAGACTCCGATATATATATATATATACATACATACATATACAGATATAGACATAGATATGAGTACTATTGCGAGATTGTGGGAGCCATGTTCAGTCCGTACGTTGCCCCCTAGTGCCGTTGCCTTCGCGGGGCGCTGCCACCCCGGGGGGCCTGCCTCCCCCGCCGCCTCCCGTCTCCTCCCTTTCGCGTGCCTCTGCCATGGCGCCAGGGATGACCAGCCCTTCTATACCCCGCAGGCTGAGGGTGTGGGACCACGTTTAGTGCGGGTGTAGCCCAGGGCGTGTGCATTGGCCAAGGCCCCTGCGGGGCGCTGCCTTTCTGGCTGGCCCGCCTCGCCCTCTGCCTCCCATGCTCTCCTCGAAAGCACTCATTGGCATGAGAGGAAGCGCAAGAGCCCCAGGGCCCCATGGAATTGGTCAAGAGTTCCATGGGCCCATTTCGGTCGGAGGTCTAAGGCTGTCTTCCGCGAGCGCGATCCGGTTCTTGAAGAGCGCGTCGCGCTGTGCTTGCGCGCGCAGACCACTCGTTGCGGCGCTTGAGAGGGCAGGAAGACATCGCGCGGGAGCTTGATGCGCAGGCCCCGGGGATCACATTCCGCCATGTCTCGCTCCACAGCCGGGATAACCAGCAAGGACCATGCCCCGACGCACAAGGACCACGAGAAGCCCTGCAGGACCAAGCCACCGTATGGTCCTGTAGAGCTTCGCAAGGTCCTTGCGCGTCGCCGCCGCATCCTGCCCAAGCATCACCGTTTCCCGTCGCCCTTTGGGTTAACGACCGTTACCAGAAATAGCGAAACACATTTCTTTGCAGGGTTGGCGCGCGGCTTCCGTGACGCTCTCTCTCTCTCTCTCTCATTCTCTCGTTGTTCTCCTCCTTGGGCGAGCCTCCGAGCCCGCCCCTCCTTCGCCGTGGCCCCAGCGCATGACAGAGCTGGCCTCGTCCTCGACTGTGGGTCGCCCCGTTCATGCCGAAGACCGCTTCTGTGAACATTTGCACTGACTGGAGCATTTTGAGCAACAAGGGGCTGCACCCCCCTGACAGCAGAAAAGGGGTGAGAGCTCCAGCAAGGGACCTCTTGCAGTTATTGAACTGCCAATTCCCCGTGGCAGGTGCGCGTCGAGAGAACAAATTTGAACACTCTCTTGGAGACCTGCGCTACCCCGCCGCCCGGCCCCTCGAGCGTCGAGTGGCATCGTTCGGACGTGTTTATTCTTCCCTCGGCGAGGTCCATCGAGGAGCAGACTGCATCATCTTTTTTTAAAAAAGCGCACGAAGCCGAGACATGCAAAGGGAATGGACCTCATGAGGGATGGCAGGTGGGGGGTGAGGCAAGGGGCACCTCTTGTTCCCCAAAGGGGCCCCCTGCGGCCCAAAATGGGCACGAACGGTGCACGTGTCTCCCCCCCCCTTCATCACCCCCCCAATGGTTAATCAACGCCCACGCCCCGCGCCCTGGCTGGGGCGGGCCAGGTGCCGACCCCGCCTCCCACTTCGCGGGGCGCCGGCGGCGACAAGTGGCGGGCGGTGCCCCTGCGCCGGAGCACCGGGCTCACGCGCTTTCGCCGCCGCCGCCGCCGCCGCCGCCTGGCGCGTCGAGGTTCGAGCTGCGTTGCTCAGCTACGCGCAGAAGGGGATGGGGGGAGGTGGGAGGGCTTGGAGAAGCACCCCTGCTTCTTACAAGGCGCGGGCCTTACCTATAGATGTAGGGCAAGCGCCCTCTAAGAAGCAGCCTCCTTCCAATAAGCCTTCGCCCCCCGCCCCCTACACCCTTGTGCGCGCCGCCAAGTTGCACCTTCGGGGGGCCGCGTCTGTTTCGGTAGCAACTCGGAAGTCCGTCCAGAGTACAGTATCGTACGCTAGTGTCTGGTAGTTGATGGGATAGCGCCGATGTAGCGACGAGCGGCGTAGTGTTAACGACGATTGGTGTCGGCGAGAGTCTATTAGCGTCGACTAGCATCGGATAGCGTCGATTCGCAAGAGCCAGCATGGCGACGTGGGAGGCTTCAATGAGTTGCAACAGAAGCGTCTGTTCCCCAAACAGGTGTCTTTTCTCATGCCCAGCGTGGGCTCGATGCAGACTCGATGCAGATTTGACGTGGATTCGACGCATATCCAACGTAGATTCGACGCGGGTTTGTCGAGTCCGACATGGATTCGACACGGATTCGACGCAGAGGGGGGCGCGACGGGACAGACAAGGTCCCCCGAAGATGCAACATAAGTCTGACGTGTTGGGATGCTTGTCCGAGGGTTCTCGGCGACACTTCCCAGCTCCGGGATGCGCTCCAGCAGCTGTGCATCGCCAGGAGCGCCCGCGCGCGGCCTGCCCCTCGCCGCCCGGACGAGCTCCCGCTCGGCGCGCTCGGCGCGCTCCCTGCGGGCCGAGGCCCAGATCGGCGGCGAGCGAGGGGAGGAACGTGAGATAATCATCGAGAAGCAAAGATAATCATCGAGAAGCAAGGATAATCATCGAGAAGGATAATCATCGAGAAGCAAGGATAATCATCGAGAAGCAAGGATAATCATCGAGAAGCAAGGATAATCATCGAGAAGGATAATCATCGAGAAGCAAGGATAACCCTCGAGAAGTAGGGGGAGGGATGTGCTCCGGGACGATCCTCCTCGAGCGGCCGCCGCAGACCCGAGGCACGGCCCGACGGCCACACGGCGAAGAGCTTCGCGGGGACTGCCCCCTCGCCCGGGCCACGGTCGGCCTCCGCTCCCCCTCGCCCGGGCCGCGGTCTCGCCGGCGGGGGACCCGTCGCCGAGTCCATCGGCTGCTGGGCCTGTTTTCCACCACCACCACCACAAGTTGGAGGGTGAGGGGGTCCTCTTCCTCCTCCTCCTCCTCCTCCTCCTCCTCCTCCTCCTCTTCGTCGTCCTCCTCCTCCTCCTCCTCCTCCTCCTCCTCCTCCAGCTTGTGGTGGTGGTGGTGGGAAACAGGCCCATCAGTCGGCGACGTGCCGCCGAGTCCAGGTCCATCGGCAGAGGGTGTCAGCCGAGAGGGAGGGGGGCGGCAGAGGGAGAGGTCGAGCGAGCTCCGCTCCGAGGCGGGGCCTGCGGGGGCGGCCACGGGGCGGCCACGGGCGGCCACTGGCCGAGAAGCAGGAATCGCTTGACAGGAGGAGGAGGAGGAGGAGGAGGAGGAGGAGGAGGAGGAGGAGGAGGAACGTCCCACCTTTTCGTTCGATGGCAAGTCATGGGAGCCTCCGTCTTTCGAAGGCACTCGCGTGCGCCAGCGTCTGGTAGTCGAGGAGAGGGCGCCGATTTGACTGGTGTCGATGGGCGTCGGTCCTCGCAAGAAGCAGCAAGACAGCCTCGGAGACTCCCATGAGTTGCCACCGTACTTTTGACCCCCTCCCCTCCGTAGACATGCAATGTGCCGAACCGCTCGTGGCGGAGCTGTTTCCCACCAGGGGCTTGTCGCGGACGGTTCGGGATGAATAGCCGGCCTTGGAGAGAGGGTCGGGACTTCGGGGGGTCTCGGGGGCAACAACAACAAGGGGGGATGGTAAATTCAGGGGGGGGCACATCGGCCCGCAATCGCCCACTCATCGGCCGCAGCGGCCCGCAATCGCCCGCATCGGGCCGCAATCGGTGTTGTCGCCGTCGCCTCCGTCGTCGCCGACGTCGTCCTCGCCGTCGATGCCGTTGTCGCCGTCCTCGTCGTTGTCCTCGTCGTCGTCATCGATGTCGTCCTCGACGTCATGGCCGTAGCTTGATCAGGAGGGTAAGGCGGATTTGGAGGACGTGGGCGTGGACGACCAGGAGACGGACGAGGGCAAGGAGGATAGGAACGACGACGACGACGACGATGACGACCAGGAGGGGGGAGCGGAGGAGGACCATGAGTATGAGGAAATGAGAAGGGAGGAGGCAGGATGGGAGGGCGGAACCCCAGCAGCAGGGGGTTGGGGAAGGGGAAACGCAGGAGAGGAGCTGGAGGAGGCGAATTGCCAGGGGACCAGCTTTCGGCCCGTGCCCGCGTGCTGGCTTCGGGACGTTCCGCGTCAGTGGGAGCGACACACGCTCACAAACACGCACACACACACACCCACACCCGCATTTATATACACACACCCACAGCCAAACAGCCACGCACGCACGCACGCACTCACGGACGTACGCACGCCCGCCCGCCCGCCCGCCCGCCCGCCCGCCCGGACGCACGCACGCACGCACGCACGCACGCACGCACGCCACGCACGCCACGCACGCGCACGCGCACGCACGCACGCACACACGCAAGCATGCGCGCCCGCACGCACGCACGCGCGCACGCACGCACGCACGCACGCGCGTGATTTCATAATAATCTTACGGGTTCCCGCAGGAAATTCATTGGTATCGCATGGGGCCCCGTGGATTCCTTAAAGGACCCTGAGGATTTCCGAAGGAAACCTCGAGCCCCTCAGGTCGCGGTCGAGCAGGACTACAAGTTACCAAAGCCAGCCAAAATATTTTGGCGCATGTGCAAGTCTAGGCTTCCAAACTGGGATCCGGGTAGAACGGGTCAGAGGATCGCGCCGCATTGTCGACGCATCGCCGATTCAGTTTGATGCGGGGCCCATCTTTCTCCGCGCTGACGTCGCCGATGCTTTGCCGACGTCACCGATGCATGGGCGATGCGTGGCCGACGCGCCGATGCATCGAAGGTGCTGCGCCATCTTCCGGCCGCATCTAATTGGGGCCCCGCCCAGGAAGCCTCTAGCAGGACACCTCGGCGCACCGAGCTCGCCAGGCAGCGCGCGAGCTTGAACTGCGAACAGATCAAGAAGGGTGGTGCCCTCGAGCTGGGCACGGTGAGCGCGCTGCTCGGCGAGATGGAGGAGCGCGTGCGCGTCCCCGAGAGCGTTCTGGGGCACCGCCCAGCAGCTCGAGGAGCAGAATCGCTGGGCCGTGACAGTCGAAAAGGCCGAGCACCTGCTGATCGCGGAGCGCTCCGAGGTTCCCGCGCACCACACCTACGTCAAGGTGTCCATGCAGGGGCCGGGCGCGGCCGTCGAGCGCCGCGACGCCTTCAAGCAGCCGTCCGAGAACGCCGAGCAGGCCGCCGCGAGGGCCCCCCGAGAGCTCCGCGCCATCGGCCGTGCCGAGGAATGCTTTGCGAGCAGCGTCGAGATGTTCCAAGCGGGTGGCTGGACTTGCTGGCTCTGGGTGACGACGTGGGTCGAGCGCGCCTTGCGCGAGATCCGGCCCGGGTCCCGCCAGCCGCCCGTCGGCGTCGCCCAGGCGCGCGCGCGAGGCAACGAGTGGATCCAGAAGCTGCCGGGCGCGAGCGACGACCGCTCCGCCACGGCCGAGGCCAAGGCCAAGGCCAGGGGCAAGGGCAGGGCCAAGCCGCCGAGCGACCAGACAGCGCCAGAGCCCAAATGCGGCAGCGTCGAGGAGGCGCAGGCTGCAGCGCTAGCGTGCGCGAGCTGCCTCGCGCGCAAGGGCGGCTCCGATGGGCGCCGAGCCTGCGTGGGCGAGTGGTTCGAGGTCGCGCGCGAGAGAAGTTTCTCGGCGAAGGCCGCCGAAGACAGCGAGCGCTCAGGCGAGCTCTAGAATCCAACTCTCGCTGATCACCAAGAGCCGCAAGAGCGAGGAATCGTTATCTTCATCATCGTGATCTTCATAATCTTCAACAACCTCCATCGATTCCCAGGGGAATCCCATGGATGTCTTCACGAGTCCGATGGATTCCCTCCGGAATCTCACGAGTTGCCGCAGGGGGTCCAATTTATTTTTTTTCTGACTGGCATGGGTTTCTTCAGGATTCCAGTCGGTTTCCATATGGATACAGCAGACGTCCATATATTTCCTATGGATGCCCCCAGGAACCCCAAGGATTTCCATCGGTATCCGCTCGATTTCCTAAGGGGGGCGGTTGATTTTCAAAGGGCCTCTTTGGATTTACATTGAAACCCGATGCACTGCCCAAAGGATCTTGCGGATCTCCATCGGATTCCTGTGGATTGCCCCAGGGATCCGGCGATTTTGTTTTATAATCCAAAAATATGAAAACAGATGAAAAAAAACACATTGCAAAAACATTGTTCTAAAGGGTTTTCTGGATTTCCGAAGGAACCCTATAGATTTCAAACTGAATCCGATGGATCCCATCAGAAACCGAGTGGGTTCCCGAAGGCATTCCATGGATTCCCCCCCCAAAGAGTATACCATCTATTTTTTGGGGGGGCGCGTGCATATCTTACGGAACCCACAAGGTTTCCATTGGATGTTGACGGTTTTTTTGCAGGAGCCCTGTGGATGTCCTCAGGCATCCCATGGATTTCCTGCGGACTCCTTTGTATTTCCGACAGGACCCCATGGATGTCCATCGGATTTTGAAAGGGATTTGGTGGAATTCTTGAGGCAATCTAATGGATCGCCTTCGGTTCCGATGGGTATCCCCAGGAATCCAATCTATTCCGCGCGGATTCATTTAGATTTGCTGAAGATCCGGATCAATTGCCTTGGGATGCCTATGGCTGTTCAAAGAAATCCATCGGATGTCAATTCGTTTTCTATGGATGTCCTTTGCTGTCGTATGGATATCCGGGCAAATCAGATGGATATCATAAGGGGTCCAATGGTTTTTAATAGGTACCCAATGGATGCCCGAATGACTTCCATTGTTTTTTGTGTATTTATATACACATGTTGGAATAACTGAAATATATGAACGTCCAGGATCATTTCGAACATCATCATCGTCATCATCTTCATCATTATGTTGAGGTCTTTGGTGAAACATTCATGATCCCGCGTGGATCCCCGACTTTATTTTTCCTGGGGGTGATGATCGGGAAGGAACGGTTGATGCGTCCAGCGTGAACAGCACTTCTTCAGTTCCCGTTCTAACCATCCGTGGTCCACTACTTTAGTGGAGCAGTGAACTCGTCAAGACCTGGGGCTTGCTAGAATTTGACCGCATGCGAAGCGCACGCGATGGGTCTAGTGTGTGTGTGTGTGCGTATACAGATACATGTGTGTGTATACACACGCGCGCGAGGAAACTCCAGGCTGCTCAGTGTCGAAGCGACAATGGTGACACGTCGGCCCATCCGGCAGCCTTCCATTCCCCCGGAGCACGAAATCGGCATCCCAGAGGCAGCAGACGGCGAAGAGTGTCCGTCCTGCTCTTCGCATGGCGATGCATGTATGAGGATACGTTCGCCGCTCGTAACTGACTCTGGCTTCCTCCCTGCCTCTCGGCCCCCCCTCCCAGGTGCTGCACCTCGACGCGTGCGAACTCTCCTGTTGCGCCACGCAGGGCATGGGACCGCCGGCGCGCGTGGAGGCGCCGCGGGGGGTCCCCCCCCCCGCGCCCGCCAAGGGGGCTCTGTCGCGGTACTCCTCGTCGTCACGCTCTCCCCAAAGGGACCCATCGGCACCGCCCAAACATCTGATGCTGTCGTGCGTCGGCCCCGCAAGTGCGACGCGCACGGCAAGACATCTTATAGTACAAGCTCTCTGGCGAACGCTTTCTGGCCATACCGCTCGGGAACCGGCATTCTAGATGATGTTTGTCCTAAATGTTCGTGCCGGACGTGCAACTCCAGCACGGGCATATAAGATCAGTATGGCTTTCAGCACTGAAGTCGGTGTGCGTTCGTCGCTCCTCGAGCCAGCAAGGTCCGTTTCGTTCCCGTCGATCCGCGTCGACATCGATTCTTGCCGGTCCGATCCGTTTCGATCCCGACACCGTGATCACCCGATGCGCACAGTGTTCGCATGGCGATGTTGTCCGATCCGATTTGAATTGATCCGATTCGACCCGATTGTTGCCGATCCATCGGTTGTCATCCTCGCGTAGCCGATCCGATTTGATTCTCACTCCGTGTCGACGCAGCCCGATTGGACGTGCATTCCGATTCGATTCGGTTTCCCAATGACATGACGAACGAAAGCGGATTCGTTTTTTTGGGGGGGGGCGCGAAAGCGTCCCGCATAAGGTCGCGCGTCAGCGCCTTCGTTTCCAATGCAGCGTGCCGCGCCGGCGGCCCGCGGCATGCCATCGTGTGTAAAGCCTTTCTCTTCGGTAGCAATCACGGGAGCTTTGTGTACCCACGTGTTTCCGTTTTCAGAATACTTGAGCGTCGATTAGCGCTTGGTAATTGATGCGATAGCGCCGATCAAGCGTCGACTCGCGTCGATTAGCGTCGACTCGGCTAGCGTCGATTAGAGTAGCGTCGAGCCGCAAAAGCCAACACTATTAGGTGGGAGGATCCCACGAGTTGCCACCGAACATGTCTTTCCGTCGCTCGATTCGGTATTGATTGATCATGCCCACAGGAGGAGGCGGAGGAGGAGGAAGAGGATGACAACGGCGAAGCGGAGACGGGGACTGATGATGATGATGATGATGATGATGATGATGATGATGATGAGGAGGAGGAGGAGGAGGAGGAGGAGGAGGAGGAAGGAGGAGGCATGTGGAGGTGACTGAGGAGGGGGGGAACCAACAGTAAGGAAAGGTGGAGGAGGAAGAGGAGGAGGAGGAAGAGGAGGAGGAGTAGGAGAAGATGAGGAGGAGGAGAAGATGAGGAGGTGGAGGAGAAGGAGGAGGAGGAGGATAAGGGGAAGAAGGTGCCCCCATCGCTGTGACAAGCATCACGGAGGAGGTTTCTCGCAGAGTTTGGCCACCGTGCTCGCTCTCTGGCTCCAGGGCCACCAGGAAACGATCTCCAGAAGGATAGCCTGTCCTGCGGAATCACTCGGATGGGACTTTCTGTGTCCTCCACGTAGCAAAAGCGCAACCTCGAAAGGATCCTCCAGGGTCCGGGGCCGCACATCGAGGCTTGCGGATGGTCGTGGAAAGTTCGCGGCTCACTCCCTTGCCGGGGGCAACGATACGGGGGGGGATAGGCATAGGGGCTCATTCATGATCCATTCATCCCCGATACAGGCTGGATAGCCCCAACCTGCCAAGGATTGCTCGGACTTGCTATCGGGGGCCTATTGTAAACGTTTCGGCCATACATAGTCGATTGCGAAGGCCTTACGGTCGGTGCCGCCGACCCTGAAGGGGAACGACGACAATGGCGGCGGCGGCGACGACGACGATGCTGACGTTTGTCAGAGTCCTTATGGATGCTTCTTGGGTTGCGTCGAAGCGCTCTCGGGGTCTTCTGGGGGACATTTTAGGTACTTCCTGGGAGACCCTCTTGGGAGTCTCTTGGGGGCCTCTCGGGGCTTCCTGGGGGCCTCTTGGGGCCCTTTGGGGGACTCTTGGGGCCCTTTGGGGGCCTCTTGGGAGCCTCTTGGTTCCACCAGGGAGCCTCTCCAGGCCGAGGGCTCGAAATATCCGTTCTGGTCCCTTGTCTGGGCACCCTCTTGGAGCCGTCTTGGGAGCTTCTTGGGCCGTCTCGGAGGCGACTTGGGCCGTCTTGAGGCCCTCTTGAGGCCCTCTTGAGGCCCTCTTGGACTGTTTTGGGTCCCTCCCGGAGCCCTCTTGTGTCGTCTTGGGGCGATCCGGGGGGCCTCTTGGGTCGTCTTGGAGCGTCGGGGAGCGGACGAGGCGAGAACGCAAATATTTCAAACGCCATTGGGAAATCAGAGGTTTTTGTCACCTCGTCTTGGGCACTCTGTGCAAGGATCTTGGAAGTCCAGGGGCCTCTTGGAAGTGAAGAATTTGGACTTCCGGGACCGCGCGGGGGTTCCGTGACCACGCGGGGACCCCGCGAGGGTTTCGGAATCGTGCGGGGGAAAGCGTATCTGGGTGGCGACCCCCCTGGTACCCCCCCCCCGGGGACCCCCCCAGGACCCCCCCCGGGACCCCCTTCACCCCCGGCGCGGGGCAGGAATCAAAGGGAAGGGTCTTCCGTTCGATTCCATTCCTATGTTGTGCAATTTTGCTTTGGGTTGCGCGTGTGAGGAAGAGGGCCCAGGCAAATGAAACAGAGGAGGACGGAGACGACGACTCCAACGGAAAAGCCCGACTCGAACGAACAAGCCCGTCACACACGCCGACAGGGTCGGCGGATTTCGTGCCGATGCTTCCCTCCTCATGCCAGTCCTGGGGAAACCACAAGGTACCGGTTCCGCTACTCCCAGGACTCTCACGGGGTGCGTTCTGACCAGAATTTCGAGGCGAATCCATCGGAGGCGACGAGGGCCTGCCAGGAGGCCCAAAAAGGGTAAACCGATGGAAGGGTAGCCGTATGGGTACCTCTTCCTCCTCCGAAATCTCCCCGTAACGTTGCCCCTCATCTTGTCTTCCTTCACGAGAGGGGAACATATCCGTATCCGCGCCCTCGCCGTTTGGAGTCCAGGGCGCGGTCCCGCGGATACGCAGTCGCACGGATGCGCTCTGCGCGGGGCATTTGCGGAACAACGCCCCGTATCCGCGGGGTCGCGGCCCAGGGGCCCAGCCCGCGAGGCCGCGGATACGGACATGTGTTTCGCCCTCGTGTGCACGCTTCTGAATTTAGATTCGTCTGCACAGGTTTTCGGCTTAGTTTGATCATAGCAAGCATGTCTTTCGCCCACGGTTCCTACGCGACCGCTCCCCTCTGTTTTCAGCGGAAGCAGGCGCGGAGGTCGGTCCGCCGCGCCCCGGCGGCTGCTGCACCGCGCTGCGTGCCCTGACGCAGGCGCGGGGCGCCGTCGTGGGCAGGGCTCCTCGATGCTCGACCCCTGCCAGCCCTGCTCGGAGGGAGGAGAAGCGACACCAACACCACCAGGGGGGCCCACCTAAGCGAGGAGGTCCACGATGTCTCCCCGAGCTAGAGGCTGGGGATGTCTCGAGCGAGAGGGGGGGACCACACCACCAGGGAGACCCCCCTTGCCTCCCCGCAGCTGTTCGCCCTGGTGGTGTCGGTGTCGCCTTTCCTTGCTCCTGCCCTGACTCGCCCAGGAAAGAGGCCTCTGTGCGTCGCGCAATGGGGTGGCGAGGCATGACGGGGGAGGGGGCAGCGAGGGCTGCAGAAGAGAGGCCCCCCTAAAGGGGCCCCGTAGGGCCCAAGAGGTGGCCTTCAGGGCCCGAGAAGTGCACCCATGAAGCCACGCCCAAGGCCCAGGGCTGGCTTCGGATTGGCACGATCGAAATGGGTACCCGGAGGAGGAGAAGGTGCCGATACCGCTACCCTTGCCTCATCTTCCTCTTTTTGGGCCTCTTGGGAGGCCCTCGTTGCCACCGCTGGATTCGCTTCGGAATTCTTGTCAGAACGCACCCCGTGAGAGGTTTGGGAAGTAGCTGTCCCCCGGTACGGAAAGAATGGGTACGGTTGGTTCTTGTGGCGTTGGCACGCCGGCGACGCCAGCGATGGCGGTCAAGGTTGAATTTTGTGACGCGGAAGCACCAAGGGTCACGGTAACGCCATTGGACCCGACGGAATTCAATTTGGAACGATTGAGGCCGCGATCGGTTCAAGAATGAGCGATCGATGCGGTGTCAAACACCTTTGCGCTCGCCGACTCCGCACGATCCTACCGCACGAAGACCGACAACACTTCCTGTCCGTTTGAACAGGGTCCGCTGCCGGTATCCCTCTGAGACAAGAAGTCGCCTGAACAATAGCGGCCGCTGTCGAATTTGAATAGCATCTGCTGTGGGGCATTGTACCCACTTTTTCTGTACCCATGTATGGTTGGATGCCCAGGTCCCAATCTATTCTAGGCGCCTTCCTACTTCAAGAGCCGAGTGGTACTTCCTCTGCCCTCGTCCTTAGGGGGCAGGTGGAAACCAAATCTACTCTGAACGCCTCCCTGCTTCTCCCGACCGAAGGGTACCCGTTTCGAGCGTCCAGTTTCGAGGAGGGCGCGGGCCTTCCTGAGGACCTCAGACCATTCCAGACCTCCTCGCATCGCGAGGAGATCGCGACCACATCTCGGCGGCGAGTGAGTGGGGGAAGTGAGAAGGAGAAGGCCTTCTCAGAAGGCGGTCGGACTTCTCAGAAGCCCTCGCGCCTTCTGAGAAGTTTTCTCTGTCTTCGGGGAAGGCTTAGAAAACTTGTCAGAAGGCCTGGGAACTTCCGAGCCTTCTGAGAAGGCCCGCCCCTCACTTCCCCCCCGCGCTCGCCGCCAAACAGCGTGTTCCGCCGTGCTCTGCCGGGCCGCGCAGGGACGTCAGAGGCTGGTGCGGGACGAGAGGCCAGCTCTGCGGAGAGGGTCGGGACTTCGGGTGGCCAGTCTTGGCAGAAAGGCCGCGTTTCATGTCTTCGGTTCTGTGAGCAGAGTCGGCGGCGAGCGTGGGGGGGAAGTGAGGAGGGGCGGGCCTTCTCAGAAGGCTCAGAAGTCCCTGGGCCTTCTGAGAAGTTTCTCCGAGCCTTCCCCGAAGACGCAGAACACCTCTCAGAAGGCGCGAGGTCTTCTCAGAAGTCCCGCCGTCTTCTGAGAGGGCCTTCTCCTTTTCACTTCCCCCCCTCGCTCCCCACCGACATCACCCAACACGGGAGGTAGGCAGAGTATCAAGTTTGTGTTGCCGTCAGGGGCACGTCAGCGTTGTTATTTTCTAGTTGTTGTTCCGCGGATTTGGCATGTCTTCCACGGTAGTTCGCTGATTACTTCCCGACGGTGGTATGTCATTGATATTGTTTTCCCCCCTCCGACGGCCAGTCATTTCCAAGGTTTAGCACCTCCGCGGACGTCTTTTTCCGAGGCCCCACTACTGTTACCAGTCCAGGGTTTTGCCAGTAATGATCACCAGGGTTTTGCGTTGCGTTGACGCGGTGGCAACGCCAACCGGTAGCCCGTATCCGTCCGATATCGAGCGATTTGCGTGATGGGGAAGCAGCGATTGGGCAATGCCGAGCGGTTAACGCGACGTCAAGATCAAGCAGAAGCCAGCGCGCACGTACTCACGACGGGCACATGCGACAGTAGACGCTGCGCAGCAGGTAACCCAGGGCACGGATGTCGTGACAGTTCGCTTTGCCTTTAGTTGGGGGGGGTTATATTCCGACGTGGTCCTCACCAGCACCCGCCAGCATCCATTCGCGTGCACGCGGCCGCTTGCTGTGAAGCTTAATTGCTCACCGCTTGACAGTGGTAGAAAGAGAGAGAGAGGGTAGATCTATATATATATATATATATATATATATACACATACATATATATATATATGTATGTATATAGGTATCTAGTTAAAGCGCACACACAGTAAAGAGCACGAACGCGAGGGAGAGAGGGAGAGAGCGAGATAGAGATATAGGGGAAAGAGAGAGAGAGGGGAATGGCGCACAGTAGGCATACATGTGTATGTCTATATAGAGAGATATACACATGCTCATGCAGGTGAGGAGCAATGGGGCCGGGGCCGTCTTGGGGTCGTCTCGAACTAGTTTGGGGGCCTCTTGGGCCGTTTTTTGGGGAATATTGGGAGACCATGGGCCCTTCTTGGAGCGTCGAATGCCCAAACATGCGAGAGCGCTAGACACATTGGAAGCCATTGCGAACAAAAACAATGATCTGGGCATCCTGGAGATCCTCTTCGAGCCCTCCTGGGGCGTCTGAGGGGCCCCTCGGGTCATCTGGAGAACTTGTTGGAACGTCTCGGGGCCGTCGCAGCCGTCTTAGAGGCGTCGTGATACCGTCTTGCGCCATCTTGACCGTCTGGCCGTCTTGGAGGCCAGCTTGGCCGTCTTTGACGCGATGGGACCAACGGCGACTGGGATCCCCGCACGGCTGGCGGGTCGGGCCGACGCTCCATGGGGAGTTCTCCTTAGAAGAGAACTCGAAGCTTTGCCAGTCGTCTGGCACGGCGCGAGCCCCTGCCACGGGAGGCTGCCGATCCAGCTGCCTCCCGCAGGTCCCGCCGCCGTGTCAGCCCAGCGTCTCGGGTGGCGACTGTTCGAGGGTGCACGGGACGCCGCCACACGCGACGCCTCGCGGCCCCCGGCCTGGAAGAGCAGGAACAGTGACACGGGGTGTCTTGCACCCGTCCCGGGGCTGTCTTGGGGCCGTCTGGGGCCGTCGAGAGGCCCTCGGTCATGGGTCCCTGCGGAGGCCCTCTCGGGCCAGGTTGGGGCTCTTTCGAGGCCGTCCTGGGCCCGCTTGGGCTGTCTTGAGGCCGTCTTGGAGGATCGTTGGGTCAGGTTGGAGCCTTCTTGGGCAGTCGTTGGGCCGTCTTGCGGGCCTCTGGGTCCGTCTGGAGCTGCAAGAAGTCCGACAAGGTGAGGCCGCCCGAAGCTTGAGCAAACACATTGGCAGTCAATGATTTACGCCTCTTCGGGCCCCTACTCTTGGTATCGCTCGGACGTGTGCACTTTTTCTCGGCGGGGTCTATTAACGGCATCACCCTAACATACTTATACTATATGTGCTTCGCCCCCCCGGAGGCGACGCGCGCACCGAGAAATCTTATAGTATATGCGTCGTGGGGGGCGCTTTCTGGCCACACCGCTCGGGAAACCATATACTACAAGATGGGTATACCATATGTTCGGGCCGGACGCGCGCCTCCAAGGAGGACATATAGTACTAGTATGTCTTTGTGCTTCCCATATATTAACGAGCACCCTCCTCCTCCTCCTCCTCCTCCTCCTCCTCCTCACCTCCTCCTCCTCCTCCTCCTCCTCCTCCTCCGACATCCAGGAGCATTCTGCGAAAAAAAAAACCCACGCACGAAACCGAAAAAAAAACACAGGGAAGGGACGTCCGAGCGATGGCCAGTACCGGGGGGTCCGGTGGTCGCCCGACCGTCTCGGGGGCCATCTCTCTGAGGGCGTCTTGGCGGCATCGTAGGGCTCCTCTCCGGGGACTCCTCCTCCTCTCCTCCTCTCCTCCTCTGCTCTCTCCTCCTCCTCCCTCCTCCTCCCTCCTCCTCCTCCTCCTCCTCCTCCTCCTCCTCCTCCTCCTCCTCCTCCTCCTCACTCCTCCTCCTCCTCCTCCTCCTCCTCCTCCTCCTCCTCCTCCTCCTCCTCCTCCTCCTCCTCCTGCTTCTCCTCCCCCTCCTCCACCTCCTACGGGGCCAAAGAGTTTTACTTGGGATCGTCTGGAACCATCTTGGATCGATCTCGGGGGTCTCTTCGGCCGTATTGGGTCGTCGGAAGCCTGAGAAAGCGACGGCGATAGGGTCAGTCAGAATCCTCAGGAGAGTCACCGATGTTTGCTTACTGGGCCCTCTTGCGGGCCTTCTTGGGCCGTCTTGTGGGTCTATCAGGCCGTCTCGAGGCCATGTTGGGATGCCTTGGACCGTCACTGGCCCGTCTCGGGACCTCCTCGGACGGCCTCGAAGCTTTCTCTTGGCGTGGGCGTGTGACCTGGGGCCTTGAAGCCTGCCCCCCGTGACCTTCAGTGTCTCTGACACGGCATTGCCGGGACCTGCCCAGGGTGCGCTTCCTCCGGGACCCCCCAGGGGCCGCCATGCGCGCGCGAATTAGAAACATACAAATATTCTGGACCTCCTGCCTCTTACCCTTACCAAAAAAAAACGGGCCAAAGGCATGTTAGAATCTCTGGCAGAGATTTTAACATGGCGTTGGCCCGTTTGGCTGGCGAATGTGTCTGTTCTGCCTCCCGTCGCTCTCGCCAGCAGGTTAGATTGTTGCAAGACTGGGCAAAGGATGCAGATGATTGGTTGAGATTAGGCGTCGCACCTGCACTTGTGCATCTCTTTAGTAAAGTGCGTGATGCTTGTATTGTGCCCTCGAGCTGGACTGCACAGCTGCTCAGGTTGGCGCACGAGAATGCAATGTGCCCCGGCTGCCTGCAGAGGGGCGCTGGATGCAAGAACGGTAAAAGAGGAAGACCAATCGTGCTTGAGGTTATGGTGCGGAGTTCATTGCAAGGTGAGGCCTCATCAATTTTGAGCGACGCAACAAGCGGATGCCGATGTATGTGCAGAGCGCGCAAGTGTGTGATGTGCAGGGGTGGCACCAGCACGTTTATGCTTGTGCTGTCATGGGATACTGCTAGGTCGCCTTCTTCCTCTCTGACTTTCCTGTTCTCTTGGCGAACCATTGCTTTCCAATAGCGTCCCCATGTTGGTGGCCGCGGCATTGCTTGACCTGACGTGGTCAGCACTACGACTCGTTGTGGGCGCAATCAAGCTGGAGTCATTTGCCGCGGCCGTGAAAGTATTATAGTAGGCCATGGCCCACGAGACGCCTCACGTGTTTGCCACCCAGTACTCCGATAACGAGGGACCGATAATACTCTTGAGCTCAAGAGGCGCATCCTCAGGCATGCTAACGACGCGCGGTCGGATTGATACTAGTCTGTTTGAACGATCATCTGTACACCAAAGCGTGTTGCGTTGCGACCAGTCGTAACGAATGATGCGAACCAATCATTGCTACGCTTCGCTTGTGCGTCTTGGGGCAGCTGTTCCTTGTGCTGGCCCCTCAAGCTTTGTATCTTGCTGCAGCTGAATGTTTCGCTCGCGGAATGTTGCGGCCAGATTGTGTGTTGCGTGTGGTTTGCATTTTGTTGGCGTGAGTCATTCGCACCGCTCTGCCACACGTGTGTTACTTGACGAGTGTGCTGTCGCTTTGGCTGCATGCGCTGGCCCTCCTCTGACCCGTCAGGTATTTGTTGTCGACCACCCGAACAATTTGACGCGCCTGGACTGGTCGGGGTGGGTGCTCTCTCGTTCTTCCTGGACCGCCTCCTTCGCTCGTCCCCTGGATGCTACCTCCATCCCGCCTTGCCGCGTGCAGCGCATGAGTCACAGCGCGCCGCTTTGCTTGCTGCTCGCCTGAACGCCCCTTGCGCTCCTTGCTCTCTGGCTCCTCTTAGCAGAATCTGCCCCCATCTAACCTCGTTATCGTTTCCTCTCCTATCATCTTCAAGGTGGAGCCTTCCTTCACCAACGCCCCGCGCCCAGTGCCAGAGGCACAACTTGCCCACCGTGCTGCTGCCCTCCCCGTCGCCGTGTCCTCCGTGCCAGCCCTTCTTGTCCTTCTGCCGTGCTCGCCTGCGCGCGGTCGCGGCTACCCCCGCCGCTCGTCTCCCAGCAGCACGAGCGGCAGCTCGGGGCGCTATCGGCCGTCCAGCGCGCGGCCGCCGCCGTGGAGCTGGCTGCCCTGAAGGCCAGCCACGGCAGCCGAGTGGCGCGCGGCCCCGCGGGCGCGACTCGTTGCCCGTCCAGGGCGCAGGGGCCCCCGTTGAGTCGCTCCGGGAGTGGCGGCGCGTCGGGGCGCCTCGGGCGTTGCAAGGAGCACGCGCGCGCCGCCGCGCGATGCGAAGGTGTTTGGAGGCCTCCGGAGTTCCTCGGAGGCGCTTCGGATCTCCAGGGAGGCCAAGGGCATTTTGGTAAGACAAGGGCCTCGAGCCGCGGTGCCTGATGTTCCTTCCCTGGATCCTGCCAAAGTCCGCTTAAAACCATCCTGGCAAGCTTCTTTTCATCCCGGATTGCTCCTTGATTGACCCAGAGCCCGCGCGGGGCCCCTTCGAGGTCCAAAGCGAGGAAGATCTGTATGTCGCGACTTGTTTGGTGCCTTGCCACGGGCGCTCAGCAGATCGTGACGGCTACGGCCACACCGTGCGGCTGCTAGTCGGTGCGCCCACCCCGCCTATCCGATCGTCAGATGAGACATCGAATTCGACGTGCTCGATCTGGTTCGATTCCGACGTTCCGACGATGCGATGCGGCCCGATGTCCCCATGGAGCCGCTGTGCATCATAGCGCAGACATTATCCGATTCGATTCCGACTCAGTGCCAATGCAGACCGAGCGGACGCACACTCCGTCCGATCCGATCTCCCGATTCGACGCTGACCGATCACGGCCATGCCCCCGTCGCCCTTACACAAGCGTGAGGACAGAGAGGCTCCTCGCAGCGCTGCGCCAGTGGGGGCCGCTGCTGATAATCTCCCGATGCGACGTACGTCCCGATCCCATTCGCTTTCCCGATTGGATGCTGACTGATCCAGCCTCGTCGTCGTCGCCGCCGTTCTCGTCGTCCTCGTCGTCGTCGTCCTCGTCCTCGTCGTCGTCGTCCTCGTCCTCGTCGTTCTCGTCGTCGTCGTCGTCCTCGTCGTCCTCGTCGTCGTCGCCGCCGTCGGGCCACGCAGCGCCCGCCGGGCCTGCCCCCGTGCGTCGTCCATCAGAGGAGGAAGAAGGTTCCCGTACCTCTTCCCCTCCGCCCGCTTTCCCCCGTTTGGGCCTCCTCGGAGGCCCTCGTCCCCACTGCTGGATTCGCCTCGAAATCCTGGGCAGAACGCACCCCGGGAGAGGTCCGGGGAGTAGCGGTATCGGTACCTTTTGGTTTCCCCAGTCCAGGAGGGAAAAAACACACAGACACAATTGATCGTCGATTCCCCAGAAAACGTGGAGAATATGGGGAGAGGGGGGGAAGACAAAAGCCCAGAGAATAGGGGCAAACATGGAGCATCCTGTCATTTGTGTCTATTTGTTTGTGTGTCCCAGGGCCTCTCCAGTCGTCCTTGTCGCAGCGCGGTCGCTCGCTTCGCGCGGCGTGGGCTGCGCACTGGCAGATTCGCACCGTGGCGGCGGGGAGCAAAGAAGCCGCGGAGGGGGCGGGCCGAGACACTGGAGGGGCCTGGGAATCGAGATGTCGGGGCCTAAGAGTCGGGGGTCAGTGCAAACGGGGGTCAGCCAGGGCACCAGATCCTGCAGGATCCTGCGAAGACCCCCTGTGGCTGACCCGGGTTAGCGAGCCGCTCGTGGCCGCGAGGCGGCCGCGCACATTGGCTGACCCAGGTTTGCGAAGACCCGTGTTGCAGTTTTTGTTCCTGCATTGCAGTTTTTTGGTTTCCTGCTGACCCGGGCCTGGATTGACCCGGGTCAGAAGATCCCCGAAGACATATCCGTTCCAGAGCGTTCCGGAACGCTTTCAGAGCGTTCCGAGCGAACCAAGCCCGCTGATTGGATCGAGGAGGAGGAGGAGGAGGAGGAGGAGGAGGAGGAGGAGGAGGAGGAGGAGGAGGAGGAGGAGGAGGAGGAGGGGGGAGGGGGGAGGGGGGAGGGAGGGAGGGATGTTGTCTCGATTCTGCCTGCACCATGAAGAAGGGCGAGGCGCTCAGGCCGTGGGGAGCTTCGCGCCGGCCGAGGGGGGGCGGCCCAGGGGCTGCGCTCGAACCAGATCGTGAAAAGTGCACGGCAGATCTGTTTGGTGCATGCTCGGCCCTCGGCCTCAGGGGGCCCCGGATGGCCTTGAGAAGTTCTGCACGGATGGCCTTGGAAGTTCTGCACGGATGGCCTTGACAAGGACGGTCGTGTGTCCCGGGTCGGAGGGGTGGCAGAGGAAATCGACAGCGCGATGTTTGTTTTCGACGCGAACGGCCTGCTTGCTACTCCGGTGCCCCCTGCGTTTGAAAAGTAGGAACGGACGCAGCATTAGAGACGGGCCCCGGGGGACGAGTCGGGACGTCAGGGAACCACGTATTGCGAAAAAGCCAAGATCTCGGGTGAGTGGGCGCTCCGAATCTGGCCAGGCCCACCTTGGGCACACGAGGGACCTTGCCGCGTGATATGGTCGACGCCCTCTTGCATGCCGCCGCGCCGTGACCGTGCCTCCTTCCGCGCCCAGTGCCCCCCCCCCCGGCCCTCCCCCGGGTCGTCGTTGTCTTACTCCTCCTCGTCCTCCTCGTCGTTCCGTATCACGCACCGGAACGGAGGGAGGGTGTGGGACAGTGCGCGGATGAGGAGGAGGAGGAGGAGTGGAGAGGGGGACTGGTGACTCAAGCCAGCTTCGAGAGCATCACTGGTCACAGGTCCAACCAACCAACAGGCAGGGGCGTCCGCATGGTTTGGACTGTGGCCTTTCCTTGCATGGCCTCTGGCGGCCTCCGCGTCCCGCCTGACATGGTCTGCTTCGTAAGTATTTGGCAAGCGTGGGAACACTGCGCAACGACAGCGCGACACCCTTCATAAGACTCTGTGTGCACACGGGGCAATGCATCACATCAATTAGCTCACTTGTGCCGCGCCCGACACCATGCACGGTGAAGGCATGGGTTGCCAGCTGCCGCCGGGAAGCGCACGGGTAGGAACAATCCAGGCACGACCTCAGCCATGCGGGATTCGGTGGGCCTTTGCCCATGATTGCGGGCAGCTCACCTCAAGCAAGCTCTATTTTCGCAGCCTTCAGACATGCTCTGAACCGCTTGGGATGTTTTCGGGTTCCAGCAAACCGCCGGTCGAGTGGCTGAATCGCGCATTGGCTACACGATTCTGCATGGATGACCAGAAACGCCAAATCGTCCCACGCTGCCCGCATCCACCATATGCGCATACTGGTGGCTTGACAAAAGATGGCGCGCAAAGCACGCGGCGCGCACAGGCGCACGCGTGAACAAACACAAGCGAAAGTAGAGAACCAGGCTCGCCTGAGCCATGAAACCCTCGCACTTCGCAGTGGCATCGTGAAAAAGGCGCCCGATGCACATCATCACCTCCCCGAAGAACAGACGAATAGGGTAACATTACAGCTATGTGCACCCGTAGTGCTCAGCATATATATATATATATATATATTATATGTGTGGCCACGCGCCAGATTGGTGCAAGCCTCGCGTGAGAACAACGCGCTGGCACAACGCAAGCCGGGTCTCAACAGGACCGCTCCTGCGCTGAAGCACGCTGAAACGCAGATGTCTGAACACCCCCATTCATGGCCCCTGCGCTCAGAGCTGTTCAGGTGCATCGGGTCAGCCAGACACGTAACAATTCCGACGTTCTTGTATTGCGACGTGGTAACTGGTCCCCGTTTGGAATTGATGGCCAAAGCGTGGCGGAAGAAAGCGTTCCCAAACATACCAACGCGTATCCTCATGTTTTCAACAGTTTCGCCAGTTGTGGGCATGATGAGTTGCACGCGTTTCCCATGTATCCAGCAAGGCCCATGTACAACGCATCGTTCTGGGACCCAGTTGCGAGCTCCGCCCCGGTGTTGAGGACGGCCATTTGAGTTTTGACGTTGTGCAACATCCTTTTTGCAGCGCACATCCAGATCTCTGGGGTCGTTGCGCGACAACGCCATCGGCTCGACTGTACACATTCAGCATACCTCAATCGAAAAGTGGCCTGGTGGCGGCAAGGGTTTCGAATGCGTTTGGCAGTGCTGCTGATCGGATGACAGCTCATTTGCGATCAGAGGCCTCGTCAGTCGCGGAGCTTACATGGTGAACAATCCAAGGGATTGCTGTGTGGACCTCGCTTCCTCGTCAGTCTTCCGTGCAATCACGCCGGGTTGGAAGCAAACGTCAAGCGACACGTTGTTCAACTCAAGCGACCAGACCCCTCCGTTGGGCACTCAAGCCTTCAAGAAAGAGCCAATTCACATCATCTTTGCTGGTGCCGAATGGAAACGAAGCCGGCAAATAGATTACCTCATAGCTGCAGATGTCTGGGTGCGCCGAACCGAGACCACCAGCACCCCACAAAAAATCAGCAAGTTCATTCCATGGATGTGCATGTTGCGAACGTACTGCTGCATCCTGAACAACCACGACCCTCGCGAGCAATGCGGCGATGTACGTTTACACACATGCATACACACATATGTGTATCTATACTATATCGTATATATGACATCGGTTGCCAGCCGATTTGGGGATGAGTCTTTGGCGAAGTGGAACGTCACATCCGCATTTACCGTGTTGTCTGGCAATGCGAACACAGGCACGCAATTGAACACACCATTGTCCCACAGGAACCACGGCATCGACCATATCATGGCCACCATTTCTTCCACGTGTCACATGGAACTCTCATTCAGCACAGCGCCAACGTAATGCCTATGAGTAGGGCCAGAAATAACAAGCCCACACAAAACGCCATGTACATCATGGAGCCATCTGTGCACTCGCTTAGGGCATAATCCCTGAGACGGAACAGGTGACGTGCAGATGTGCAAAGGGTGGTTGTTATTGGCAGCGCTTCCGGACCCACCCAAGTATATATATATATATATATATATGTTTTGTCGCCCGACTCGTTTTCCTGTAACGGAGCCTCTTGATCATATATGATCCGTGGTGCTGTGGTGGCTCAAAGCTGTTCGGGGGTTCAGCCTCCTCCCGGCGTCCGCGGTGGATGCTGGGGGTCCTCCGCGTCGCCGGGCCGTGGCTGGGGCAGCTCGGCGCGGCCTGGGTGGCGCGGCCTCCGCCTTGCCCGGCGTGCCCGCCCTGCCCGGCCCTCGAGGCCAAGTGCGAGCCATGCTGCGGGGCGTGCCTTGCGTGCCCGGCCTGCCCAGGCTGCCCAGCGCTCACGTGTGCTGCGCCGGCGGCCTTGCCGGAGCTGCGCTGCCCCGCCTGTCCCTCGCCCGCCTGCGCGCGTGAGGCGCCGCAGGCCTGCCCTGCCTCAGCCGAGGGCTGGGGCTTCGAGGTCGGGTTCTTCCTCGGCCTCGTCGTGGGCGTGCTGCTGGCGCTGCTCGTGGGCGCCGGGCTCACGGCGCTGCGGCGGCTCGTGGAGCGGGCTGTGGGGGCCCTGACCGCTGGCCAAGACGACGGGCGCTGCAGCGCGGACGAGGCTCGGGCCGCTGGCCAGCCTCCGCGCTTCCGACCCATTAGAGCGTGATGGCCGCACAGGCCAGGACGCTCGACATCGCCGAGAACCAAGTCTGCATCAACTTCGACGACGACGACAACTTCAGGTGGCACCACAGGGTGCTCCTCGTGCCCGGCCATGCTGCTGGAGAGTGGATCGGCGCGACGCCCGACGGGGAGGTTTTCCTCATCCGCCTGGCGAGCCACCTCGTGGTCGCGCTGACGAGGAACGCCCCCTTCCCCCAGCGCGTGCGGGGGAACGTGTACGCGTTCGGGCCGCTCGACGACGAGGCGCTGGGACACCTGAGCACGGAGGGGAGGAACCTGGCCCGCGTGCTCGGTGTGGCCGCGCCTGCGGGGCCACCGGGCGCAGTCATCGCGCGCTGGGTGATCTCCGACCCTGCCGTCGACGGCTTCGGCGAGGAGGTCGAGCCAGGGCTGGCCTCGAACCCGGACCGCTTCGTGTCGAAGGATGCCGTGGGACTGGCGCTCATGGACGACGAGACGGGCTGGGTGACGGTCGAGAATGTGCAGGCCGACGACCAGGCCGAGTGGCGCGCCGAGAAGCAGCGGGGGCCAGGGCGCGACCCGCGGGTCCTGGCGATCCCCGCTCCTGGGCGGGGGAGCCGTGCTCCGCTCGGCGTGGTGCTCGCGGCGCTGCGCCCGGTCGACGACCCGAGCTGGCCTTTCCGCGGGCCCAGGGCGCTGAAGGAGTTCCTGGATGGCGTCGACGCCTCGGGGCTCTCGCTGACCGCCTACTGGGGCTACTGGGTGGAGCAGTCGGGCGTCGCACGCCTGAGTGGCTGCTCGCTCGAGCTGAAGGTCATCCTCGAGGTGCTGCACCACGCCCTGGTCTTCGACCGCGTGGATGTGACGAACCTGGCGAGCTTCGAGCTGCTGGCGCGGAGGGCGCTGCAGATCCAGCGCGCGGTGAAGCGCTGCCCGCGTCACCCGACGCTCGAGGGGCTCGACCTCATGTTGAGCAGCGAGCTCGACGACGCAGGGGGCGCGGTGACCTCGAAGTTCGACTCGTACATCGCCGAGGAGCAGAATACCCGCGGGATCATCCTGAAGCAGGAGAGGCTCTGGCGCGAGGAGCAGGAGCAGGGGCCCCAGAAGTACGAGAGGGGGTCGAGCTCGGCTGGAGCCGAGGAACCAGGTCGCCGCCCGAAGAAGCCCGCCAATCCGAAGGAGAAGGCGCGGGTGAAGGGCAAGACCGCCGACGGCTGACGGCGCCACGCAGGCGCCTCCAGGGCTGGGCGATCCGCCCGGCCTGTCCTCGCCCATCGCCGAGGCCGCGGCTCCTTGGTCTCGCGATGGGCGGCGCCCCGAAGGGGGGTCTCCTCCGGGCGCCGCACTCCTCTAGCTGTTTCCTCTTCCTGACGGTGGTCGCCTCTTTCGTGCTGCCCGACGGGGAGAACGTGCCGCTTTGCCTCGGTATCTGGCCCAGCGCGCGGCGCGCTCGGACGAGCGGGATCGGCGAACTGTCGAGGCCATCTCATCCATCAACGCGCTCAGTGCTGCTCAGGCCAGCCGGCCGCTGCGGGCGCAGCCGCCCAGCAAGTTCGAGCCGACTGCCGCCCAGGAGTCGGCCATCAAGCGGATCCGACGTCGTGTCCGAGATTTTGGAGCTAAGCCCTCGGACCTGGATCCCGCTGGAGCCCTTCAGGAGCTCTTCCGCTGCAAAGATCTGCGCAGCGGTGCGGGCGAGTGCTCGACACGGCAGGACTACGACCCTGACAAGCTCAATGTCTTCAGGACCAACGACGTCCAAGTCCATCTGCGGGGCGTCGCCCCGGCCCACGTGGCCGAGGTCCTGGGCAGTTTTGACTCCGAGGTGGTGCGGCCGTCCGCGGACATCGCCCCGGACGAGGAGATCGTCGAGCCCTACTGGGATCCGCTCCTCAACCCTCGCACGAAGGCCAACCGGCCGCGTCTGGTCGACTTCTTGGCCAGGATGGCGCGGCGGGGGCTGGTGGGCGGCCGCCGCCGCAGGAAGGCCTGCGTCAGCACGTTCTTCGTGGCCAAGAAGAACGGGGACATCCGCCTGGTCGTGGACGCGCGCCAGGCTAACCAGTTGCATCGGCTGCCGCCTCGCACGACCCTGGCGTCCGGAGAGGCGCTCGGGTCTATCAACCTCCTCGACGCGGTCGACGCGTCGCCCGAGGACCTGGCCGACTTCGACGGGTGCTTCGACTCGCTGTGCGGTGGCTCGGTCGACTTGCAGGACGGCTTCTACCAGTTCAGCGACCCCTCCTGGGGCTGCTGGATGTGCTTCGACGTGGAGGTCACGGCCGGCGAGCTCGGGATCTCGACGATCTACGACGACGCTCTGGGCCGGCGCGTGCCGGTCGCGGAGGACGAGGTCATCTGGCCTTGCTTCGCTGCCCTACCGATGGGCTGGAGCTGGGCGCTCTGGATGTGCCACGAGGGGCTGGTCGACGCCATGGACGCCGTCGGCCTGCCGGGGGACACGCGGGTGCTCGACAAGGCCCGCACGCCCTCGATGCACGGCGGCGGCGTGGCGAGGGCCCCCTACGTCGACAACGGGAACATGGTCTCGCTCTCCGCCGACGCCATCAACGCCCGCCTGGCCGCCCTCACGGCCGAGCTGGACCGGCGGGGGCTCCGCTGGCACGAGCTCGAGTGGGCGCAGCCGGGGCTCGCAGTCCTGGGGCTGCAGCTTGACGGCCGGCGGGGGCGGCTGCGGCACACCGCGAAGCGCGCCTGGCGGCTGCACGGGGCACTTCATCGTGTCCTGCAGGTGCCTTGGCTGGCTCGCTGGCAGCTGCGCAGGATCGTCGGGCACCTGGTCCACTACTTCTCGGTGCTGCGGCCGGGCCTCAGCGTCCTGGGTGAGTGCTACGACTTCATCGGCTCTGGGCCTCTGGACCCCGTCGTCCGCCTCCCAGCGGGGGTGCTGGCTGAGCTGCGCGTGGCGGCTGGGCTCATCTTCCTGGGCGAGGTGGACCTGTGCCGGGTGCCGGCCGACGTGGCGTTCGTCACCGACAGCTCGTTCAAGGGCTACGCCGCGTGCCAGGCGAGGGTCCGGCCCGACGAGGTTCTCGAGGCCACTCGGTGGAAGGAGCGGCAGCGCTTCGTGGCTGCCGAGGTGCCCTGCGACCCGGACGCCGAGGTCTTCCTGGGCCGCGCCACCGGGCTGGCTGACGTCGGTGGTGACTTCGACATCAACTCCAGGCCCGGACTGCGACACGCCGTCGCACGGCGCCGCCGTGTGGAGCTGGACATCGGCGTCCCGCCCGCCGCGCTGCCGGACGAGCTGCTCGACCCGCTGCGGTGGCAGGAGCTCCGCCGAGGTGCTTGGCGGCACCCGGGTCGCATCCATGCGCTCGAGGCAAGGGCCGCGGTCGCGCCGATGCTCCGGGCTGCCGCGGACGTGGCGTTTCACGGCAAGGAGGTGCTGGGGCTCTGCGACAACCTTTCGAGCGTGTGCGCCTTCGAGAAGGGCCGCGCCACCAACTGGGAGCTCCTGGCGCAGTGTCGGAAGGTGGCCGCGATCTTCTTCGCCTGCGAGCTGCGGCCGCGGTGGAGGCACGCCCCCGGGATCGTCAACGTGGCCGACGTGGGGAGCCGTGCCGCGGACCGAGGAGAGCTGCGGGCCGGCCGCTACCGCGGCCGCGGGCCGCTGCTGCCGCCGACGCCAGGCTCCCGGACTTCGCTGGTCCTGGCAGCTCCGACATCGGCAGCTGGCCCAATCTTGTCAACATTCGTGGTCAGTGAGACGGTCTGCCCAGCGGCGCACCCTGAGCGCTCGCTGCCGAGCCGCGACTCGCGGCCTCGCCTGCACGTACCAGCGGGCAGCTATCCATTCAGTAGACGGAGAGATGTACATCCCCATTCCCATGCTCGTCCACCATCCGTCCCGCTTCACCATCATCGAGAGAGCGCTGCTGCTGTTCGACATAACGACCATCCGTCGCTGCTGCAGCCTATCAGGGAGGGGCCGCCGCTGGAGGGACCTCGCGGCGCTGGCCCGCCGAGCGCTGGGCTGCTCCACCGTTGGCCTTCAGCTCGGGGCCGCGCGAACCTGGACCACCTACCGTTACCGCGACGAGAGGATGCCAGTGGCCGCCCATCCCCGACCCTGCCGCCGTCTGACGCCGCCTGCTGCCGTTCGGATCGCAGTTCGAGGGGCCCGAGGAGGCGCACCAGTCCGAGACAGGGGTTTCTGGAGATCTTCTCGGGCTGTGCCCGCCTCACTGGGGCCGTCCACGAGGCCGGGTTCAGGTGCTTCGCTCCGATCGACGTGCGGCGTGGGCCTCATTGTGACCTGGCTCGCCCAGGGCTCCGACGTCTGGTCGAGTCTTGGCTCAAGCGCGGGCTGGTCTGGTGGGTCCACCTCGGGCTCCCCTGCACCCGCCGGGTGCCCGTCGGGGGCGTGCGCGAGCCGGGGCCCGCGGATCGCCTCCTTGTGGACTTCACTCGGCGTGTGCTGCGGCTCTGTCGGCAGCTGGGCGTGCACGTCACCTTCGAACCTGCGAGACAGCCGCGTGTGGCGGCATCCGCCCCTCGCGCGGGAGCTGCGGCGGCTGCGCTGGCCCAAGGTCGTCTTCGACAGCTGCAGGTTCGGTGCGCCCTTCAAGAAGCCGAGCGCGCTGGCCGGGTCGTTCGTCGGCCTGGGGGACCTGGCGCTGCTCTGCACCTGCGTCGGGCGGCACCGGATCGAGCTGCAGGGCAAGGTCCAGCACCCCACGCGGGGCTGGCTGTGGCGTACGACGCTGGCTGGCGCCTACCTCCCGGCCTGGTGCCGAGCGCTGGTGCAGGTCGCTGCGCGCGGTGCCGGGAGCGCTGCGCGGGGCCGGACCGACGGGACTGGCTGGGCGCGCTGGGATCACGCAATGGCGAGCGCGACAGGCGCGCCCCAGCCAGCCAGGTCCAGTGCCCCGCTCTGCCCGCGGCGCTTCCGGCTCCCCTGGCGTGAGTCGTGGCCGAGTGCCCTCGACCCGAGGCCGCGGGCCCGCTGACGCGGCCGCGCCGCCCCGCCCGCTCAAGGCCGCCCGCAGGGTCGCGGGGGCCCGGGCGTCGAGGCCGAGCGCGTGGCGCCCGCGGGCTGGCCCGTCGGACCCCGCCCCTGCGGGGCCGACTCCTGACCGGGCTGAGGGCCGCCGCCGGCCGCTGCGAGTGCCTCGGGCTGAGGCCGCGGCCGGGAAGAAGCGCCGCGCGGCCACGGCCGCCCGTGCCGACGCCGCTCTGGCTGGCCGCGACTGGGCGCCGGGCGAGTACCTCCGCCTCGCTCGCCTACGTCCTGCCACTCGTGACGCCTACTCCAGCGCCGTCGCCGAGCTCGAGGACTTCGCAGCTCGGACCGGGCTCAGCCTGGACAGCGTGGGCGTCGCGGATGACACCGTGAACCTCTTCTGTGAGACGCTCTTCTTCGCTGGGGAGCCTCTGTACATCGCCAAGAACGCCCTCTACGGGTTCTGCAAGGCACGCGGATGGTCGGCTGGGCGTCCGAACTTCCAGAAGTCCAAGGACGCGCTGGACGGCTGGGCTGCGAAGCAGCCGCCTGTGGCGCAGCAGCCGCCGCCCTGGGGCGCCGTCCGCCTGGTCGTCCAACGCCTGGCGGAGGGCTCTCTGCTGCAGGCTCTGGTGGCCCTCGCCATCCTCGTGCAGTTCGACATGTACTTGAGGCCGAGCGAGGTGCTCGCACTCGAGGTCTCACACATCGTGGGCGACAGGCGCATCGTCGGCGGAGCTGGCCGACAGGACGTCGCTGCAGTCATCGCCCCCCTCGGTGGCGACGGCTCGAAGCCCGCTAAGAATCGGGGCTTCGACTGCGCCGTCGTCGCCGGCTCTGCGGCCGACGTGCGCCGCATGATCCCAGGAGATTTGCTCGCCCTCCAGGCTCGCTCTCGTTCTTTGTCGCCTCCCTCTCCTCTTCTCTTCGCCCCTCTCACGCTCCAAACGTATGAGAGGATGCTCAGAGAAGCGGCTCTCGCCGTCGGGGCGCACGACCTGTTGAGTGTGCCCCACCAGCTGAGACACGGGGGCCCGTCTGATGACGCCCTCTTCTCGCTTCGCGACCTCCGTGCAATTTAAGCGCGCGGCAGATGGCGCGCTGCGTCGAGTGTCCGTGTTTATGAGAAGCACGGCCTCTTTCTTCGGCAGACGGCAAAGCTCTCGAGGCAGCAGCGTGCACAGGCATCCCAGCTCACAGATCGAGCAGTCCTTTCCCTGTTGCGCCGTGTTGCCCTTGTAGCACGTTCAATTAGATAGAGTCGGCAATAATGAAGACCCTCCCGCCCCCCTAAAGGACATAAGTATGGGTATGGGTCGCGTGGCAAAGTCTGGGGAGGTTTTACTCTCTTGCAGCCGAGCGAAGTCACTGGTGTTCGCTCGCCTCTTCTTTGAGAACACTCCGTGGAGTCCCCATGGCACTTGCTGTTGAAAAGTGTGCTCTCGGACTTGTTCTGGCTTCGCCATTGGCATGTCCCGATTAGCTAGCGCTGTCTCCCCCCACACGCAACCCGTCCCCTGGGGAAGAGGCGCGGAGAGTGGTCAGGAATGTTTTGTCGTCCGACTCGTTTTCTTGTAACGGAGCCTCTCGATCATATATGATCCGCGGTGCTGTGGTGGCTCAAAGCTGCCCGCCCTCCATCCCCCACACTCCGCGTGGCAAAGTCTGGGGAGGTTTTACTCTCTTGCAGCCGAGCGAAGTCACTGGTGTTCGCTCGCCTCATCTTTGAGAACACGCCGTGGAGTCCCCATGGCACTTGCTGTTGAAACGTGTGCTCTCGGACTTGTTCTGGCTTCGCCATTGGCATGTCCCGATTAGCTAGTGGTGTCTCCCCCCACACGCAACCCGCCCCCTGGGGAAGAGGCGCGGAGAGTGGTCAGGAATATATCTATATATATATATAGATGGATGAATGTCAGCGGGCTTTTGCCACGCAAGATATTGCAATTGCAAGTGCTGCCCGGGTGGCGCCAAGCAACGTGACCCTATCCAAAAGATGCGACAAAGCATGGCCATGTGCAAGTGGGCGGACAAGATACATCATCAAATGATGCTCGAAGACGCTGTAAACCTTCCGTTGGTAAGCCTCCGCAGCGAAGCAATGGAGGCCAGCCTCGAGGCAAACATCCTCACAGGTGTCCAGAGCGCCGAGAGGAGTAGGTTTCGGCTATGGCTCCTCTCGCTCCTCCTCCTCCTCCTCCTCCTCCTCCTCCTCCTCCTACTCCTCCTCGACATCAACCCCTAGTTCCGTTTCCAGAGCTTATCTTGAGGCGTCTCCAGTACTGGGCTTTGAGGTTTCCTGAAGTTGGCCAAGTTGGGGCTCCCGAAGCCCAAGTGTGTTTCTCTCGGCTAAAAGTGGTCGGCCAGCATATTGCTCCCTTCGTTCAACTCAGTCTGCTGCGCAGTATATGTAACGCCTGGAATACCTCACGGAGATACCGCCAGGCCACTCTCGGATGCAGGTTCGGATGCCAATGTATTGCTGGTGACCAGATCGTGCATTACCTTGTCTGTCCCGCTCTTCTCGGAGTGATGCGTGCCAATCTGCCTAGGCCCCCACCATGGTGGGGGGTGGAGGTGTTTGCTGGGCTCCTTCTTTTTTCTATGCTTCTCTCATGCGAAGAAATCGTCTCCATTGCCATTGCACACGATGTCCTTTTAAACACGTTTAATAAGATCAGGTCCGAGGGGGCCCAAAGCACTTCGCGAGCCATTCGGCTTGCTGCAGGCCGGGTCCGCCTTATCTGCCGACCGGATGCCAGGGCACGGTCTCCGGCGCGGCGATAGGGCCTCGGGCGGTGTGGGCGCCTCCGATGACCTGCCAGGTGGGATCGGGCTCCTACTCCTCCTCGCCGCTTCCCCCCTCGGGGAAGAACCCGCCGACCTCGACGAGCACGTTGGTTGTGGTTGAGGTCGATTGGGCCGTCCTTGTACGCCAATCCGACCACAACCAGTGCGAAACTGGTTTCGGTGTTCCGACAACTTTGGCATGCGCTAGACATCCCCGAAGGTTTGTCCTCGATGCAGGTGTGGTCGCTTGATGTCCCACCAGTCCTCGTCGTCGTCCTCCTCAATCTCCTCCTCCACCCTTACACTAGCCAGCGCATGTGCGAGGGCCATGCGGTCGACCTCCCGCCGCAGGAAAATGCTGAGATGCATGCTCTCCTGCAACCATGAGATTCGCGGGTGGCGTAAGTGGTGAGTGGGTCACGCGCCAGCCTGGCCCAATTTGGACCCAAACGCCACCCTGCGGGGCTCCGAGTGACATCGGTGAGCTGCGTCGCGCCAGTCGGGGAAGTCGCCCACTCGCCCTCACAATGTCCTCCATCGCCTCCTCCATCTTCTTTTGAGGGAGCGGTTGATGAAGCCGTGCGGAGTCGTCAGAATGGCAACGCACGCACACGTCGAAGACGTCCGGGTCGAGCGGCACACCGGTAGAGGCGAGTGTGTGTGTGTGTGTGTGTGTGTGTGCGTGGGGCCCTCCGATTGACGGAGCGGCACTTATCCTTCAGAATTCGATACCCTTGAGTTCGTTACATCAGGCTCTCCTGACGGTCCAGCGCCTCCATCTCCGCCTCCCCTCCCCCCGTCAGGAGCTGCTCTCCACAGACGAACCGTGCGCGAAGTCCCTGCTCGCCGGCCTCGGCTTCGCCCGCGTGCTGGACCGTGGCCCCCCGCGCGTCGCGGCGCGGCGCGCCCATCGACGCGACCGTCTGGTCGCGGCAGGTCACTGCCCCCCCGTTGCCGTCCGCCCGGGCAGGGGGCCCTGAGACCCCCGCGTCGTCTCCTCGTTTCACACCACCGGGGGGTCTCGCCCTGCCTCGGGCTCCCCCGGGTCCGCACGGACCGATCCGGCCGAGAGATGCCGCAGAAAGGTTGGGTCTGGCGGTCCTCGCCCCGCGCCGGAGCGGCGGGCGCGCGCACCCCTGACCCCCTCCTGGAGGCGACGGCACGGACGGATGGCCCAGGGGGGAGCAGTATCCACCGGTCGTTGGAAGTATGTATTTTTGGATTCCCAGGTTCCAATATACTGTAAGCGCCTTCCTACTTCAATGATCGAGTGGCTTCGCCTTTTCCGTTCTCCTTAGGGGGCGGACGGAACCCAATCTATTTTCAACGTCTTACTACTTCATGTTTCTACTTACTTTTTCCGACCGATGGGCACATGTACCCAGGGGCGCCGATGGTCCATGTCTTCGCGAGGCTCCAGGGTGAACACATGTAATACCGGCCCCTGTGCTATTCGCCCGCATCGTCGCCGCCGACCCTACGACGAAGGATTTTTGCTACTTTCGGCCTCTGGGGGCCATTACGGTCGAAACCGATGGTAAGGATAAGGGTGTTCTTGCATTCTGTCCCTTCGGCCCATCCTTGGCCACTTTCGTTGGCCACGCCCCGCTCGAAAAGTCTCGGCATGACCTTCCAAGGCCCTTGCGTCCGTATCGTGCATCCTAACTATCAGTTTGACTGCACTGCGCCTCGGGGCCATCAAAAAGTAGTGACGATGAAAAGCTGGTCCTGGAGAAGGGGTCGAAACCTCTGGGGGTCGGCGCTATGAACACATCGTGGCGTCGTGGGTCTGGGGCAAGCGCGGGCGCTCTGGGCGGAACGCCGCCAGCGGCACGGTCTTGACCGGTGATCATCGAGCGATCCGCGTTGCCGGAAATCCGCGTACGGACTGGGTTCGGGGCTCTCGTCACGGAGGTCAGCGCTAGCGGGGGGTCGGGGTGAGTCCCCTCCATCTGGCCCGTGTTTGATGCCGATTCCCCCTCCACCCCCTGCCGCCCTCCGCCGACCTGGCCCTGGCTGGCCTGGGTTCTGGGTCGAAGAAGACATCGGCATGAATATAAACTTCTGGCGGTCCGCGCGGATTTCTCGGATCTGCGCTGGGACCTCCCTGGCAGGGGTGGGAGGGGGCCCTCGCGCAGGTTTCGCCACGGCACGGCTCTGCTGTCCGTCTGGTAGGTTCGCGCTGAGCGCTGGCGTGTCGGAAGGAGGACGGATGGAACAAGTGGGGAAACGTTTCTTTGGGTTTGGGGTGCGCTTGGGGCTTGGGGTGCGCTGACCCTCGGTCCTGGGGAACCCCATGTCAGCCACGCTCCAAGGGACTGAAAGTACGACTGCACGACTCCCTCGCTCTGACAAAGCAGCTGGATGCACATAATGTGCCTATGTGGCCGCAAGACTTCAGTGCTGGTCCACCGCATGTGTAACTCTGTCGCGAGGCTTCTACTCAGGAGCGAAAGAAGGACGTACTCGTACAGGAATCCACGCTGGTTTCGAGAGTGCGCATTGCGCAAATGTTCGTATCACGCGGCCAGGCTCGCGGATCGAGGGGCCGTTTTCATGTACATAGTTGGGCGCGTACGTCTTTTGTTGGCTCCCGATTCTACGCTCCGCCAAGTGAGTCCCAGCCATGAGGGGTGCCGCCGAATTTCAGAAATGTGGCAAATCCTTTAAGTTTTTGCACCCTGACCCCGCTGATCTGCGTGCGGGGTGCAAGCGAATTTCAGAAATGTGGCAAATCCCATGTGTTTTTGCAACCTGACCCTGCCGATCTGCGTGAGGGGTGCCACCGGATGTAAGAAATGTCGGTTTTACAAATGTGGCAAACCCTTTGTGTTTTTCGACCCTGACCCCGCCGATCTGTGTAAGGGGTGCCGCCGGATTCCGGAAATGTGGCAAATCCCATTTGTTTTTGCACCCTGACCCCGCCGATCTGCGTGAGGGGTGCCGCTGGATTTCAGAAATGTAGCAAATCCCGTATGTTTTTGGACCCTGACCCCGCCGATTTGAGTAAGGGGTGCCAGCGAATTTCATAAATTTGGCAAATCCTTTGTGTTTTTGGACCCTGACCCCGCCGATCTGCGTGAGGGGTGCCAGCGAATTTCAGAAATGTGGCAAATCCCGTGTGTTTTCGGACCCTGACCCCGCCGATCTGCGTGAGGGGTGCCACCGAATTTTAAACATGTGGCGAATCCCTTTTGTTTTTGAACCCTGACCCCGCCGATCTGCGTGAGGGGTGTAAATTTACCCGCCCCCCACAGGAATTCTGAGAACCTTTCTTGGGCGTGGTAAAGAT